AACTCCAGGATAAGCAAATATTGGCTAAGTACAAAAATCACAAGTATTCTTCCTTGAATCTTGGTGTGCTTTTTATATTTCTTCCAGATCTCTGCAGTAATCCAGTGTGAAACTTTCCCTCTCTGCAAGAACTTCCTGTAATAAAGACTTCTCACTGCTGCTCTCTCCTTGTGCAGGGTGACAGGTCTTCTATCTGCCCTCTTCTGTAGTTTCCTGCGTACACTTAAAGTTGAACTCCAGGAAATGTAAACATTTTCCCTTGTATTGGGTCTGTCCCTGCACAACAAGGATTAAATCCTACACTCCAGAGCTTGGATGTGAGGACACTGATGAACATTCACTGCTGGAGAATAGGGGTGTGCCCATCTACTGGGGGAGAGGAGTAACACATTTATTATTTATGATTACAGGTACTTATATAGCGCCGTCAATTTATGCACTGCTTTACACGTATATATATTGTACATTCACATCAGTCCCTAACCCTGAAGGAGTGTACATCTAAGGCCCCTAACTCACATTCATACATGCCAGTAGAAACAGAAACGACCTCTTCTGCGCTCTATGACCCAGAGCAAGGGTGGATGGATGGAAACAGAACTTGAAAAATTCGACGACCAATGCATAGAAGGTCTTGCAGCTCTAAACAAGGCTGGGGAAGCCCGACCAGTATTAAAAGTGAAACAAAAAGAAACCGCACCAACCTTGCGCATTACCTCAATAAACCACAATTTTATTAAACTGAGAATAATACTCACAAACAACGAAGTAAATCAAGCCTATAAGTCCTCAAAGGAACTTTAGGAGTGTAGAGCCTGTGTGAGTCACATTGCAGGGGTCGTCTCTCAAAGTATGGCTGACGCGTAGGGAGTCCCTTCTTCATCAGAGCTTGCACAGGCTCTACACTCCTAAAGTTCCTTTGAGGACTTATATGCTTGATTTATTTTGTTGTTTGTGAGTATTTTTCTCAATTTAATAAAATCATGATTTATTGAGGTAATGCGCAAGGTTGGTGCGCTTTCTTTTTGTTTCACTTCACATTTATACATACTAGGGCCAATTTTAGATAGGAACCAATGAACCTAACAGCATGTATTTAGAGTTAAACGTGATTTTCCTGTCCCCTAGATGTAAACGAGCATTTAACCTTTAATGCTCTTAGTGTACTTTGCCCCTTACCTCACTCCAAGGAAAATGGTTCATCTCACTCACAGGAAGATCTTCCACCAGGCTGTATGGTGGTAAGCACCTCTGACTTCTGGAGCAACCCATCGCCACCTGTGGGGTCAGAAACAGCCAGAGAATCACAGGCAATGTTATCAGCCTCTGTTATACCATTGTCACATTGACAAATTGTCTCCAGTAGGTACCAAATGCAACTATTAGGGAGGCAGGAGCAAAGATGGCCTAAGGGGAAATGGGAACCTAAGGAAGGTAACAACACCCCCCCCCCCTTCCTCATTTGTTCAACTGGCATTAATATGATTTGCAATAAGTTGCCTATCAATATTGTCTGTACTGAACCCATCAGACAGCAACTGTCAATGCCAGGACAAGGTTCTTTATCACCCAAACGCAAAAAAAGCCAAAGTGCACCCCCCCCCCCCCCATGTGTTGTCATCTATCTTAGCAGTGCAGGTTTTGTCCTTTTTGTGCCCCTTTCCTACTGAAGGGCCCAAGGCTGCTCCCTGCTCTATGGCCTGGACCTGCCAACTGCCTAGAATACATTATTTCTTGAGTAGTGACAGTCAGGTGCACAGCTTTCACTAATTTCACTATCCTCTCCGTTTGCTGCAGAAGTATAAAGGTTGTAGCTGGGCCCTCAGCATCCACTGCTCCCCAGGATTGCCTTGTAAATGATATGGCTCTGGGGAGCAGCAATGGAGTAACCCTATAGGTGAAGGCGAGTTGGGTGATTGTTAACACATGTATATGTGAGAGTCATGGGTGAGGCACAGAATTTAGGTTTCTAAGGGTGGGCTGACGTGAATGCATAAGAGTGCACTTAGGCACTAATTTGGGAATGAACTCCAAAGCAGCTCCCAGCTGTACCATCACTGTCCTCCCAGATGCATCTGATGTTCTGTCATCCTGCCAAAATATAGCATGTGGCTCCTCAGGAGTAAAGGTTATAGAGAAATGAGCCACAAAACAAAATTGTTCTTTTAGGATGACTTTTATCCGCGTCAAAACTGGCAGCACAGTACCAAGCCAATCTTCTTCAGAGACACTTCAAACACTCGGTCACAGTCAGTAGTAAACATGAATACAGAACAATCTTGCAGCTGCTACAAACAGAAGATTATGTGAACCATGCCATCCTTAAAGTGATACTAAACCCAGAACCCTGCATTCACTATATCTGGTCTCCCACAGTATACACAACATTGAAATGCAATTATTTTAGTAAATATAAACTGCTAAATACATTTTCTCATCAGCAGTTAGAGCAGTCTTGTGTCTTCTGCAGAGCACTTGTAGGAGGAGTTTTCTTTCTGCTCTAGGAGGATGTGAAACCCTTGACCCTCTGTCTGGACAGCACTGTTTGGTCCTGTGCTGATCATATGCACTCTCCCAATAAAAAAAAAAAACTCACTAGCAATGCACACCAAACTGAGCATGTGCAGGTGATTTGGAAACCAGGAAGTAACTGATGAAATGCAAAAAAAAGTTTATAACAAGCAAATATGATATACTTTCCTATCCTATCTATTTACTAATGCTAACAGCATAAGGATTAGAAGTAGTCAGTGTTGATTGAGAAAGTGAAGTTCCACTTTTTAAGCAGTAACTGCAACCATTATGTTTTTCTTTTTGAAAAAAGGCTTGAACAATATACAGTCAGGTCCATAAATATTGGGACATCGACACAATTTTAACATTTTTGGCTCTATACACCACCACAATGGATTTGAAATAAAACGAACAAGATGTGCTTTAACTGCAGACTGTCAGCATTAAGGTATTTACATCCAAATCAGGTGAACGGTGTAGGAATTACAACAGTTTGCATGTGTGCCTCCCACTTGTTAAGGGACCAAAAGTAATGGGACAATTGGCTTCTCAGCTGTTCCATGGCCAGGTGTGTGTTATTCCCTCATTATCCCAATTACAATGAGCAGATAAAAGGTCCAGAGTTCATTTCAAGTGTGCTATTTGCATTTGGAATCTGTTGCTGTCAACTCTCAAGATGAGATCCAAAGAGCTGTCACTATCAGTGAAGCAAGCCATCATTAGGCTGAAAAAACAAAACAAACCCATCAGAGAGATAGCAAAAACATTAGGCGTGGCCAAAACAACTGTTTGGAACATTCTTAAAAAGAAGGAACGCACCGGTGTGCTCAGCAACACCAAAAGACCCAGAAGACCACGGAAAACAACTGTGGTGGATGACGGAAGAATTCTTTCCCTGGTGAAGAAAACACCCTTCACAACAGTTGGCCAGATCAAGAACACTCTCCAGGAGGTAGGTGTATGTGTGTCAAAGTTAACAATGAAGAGAAGACTTCACCAGAGTGAATACAGAGGGTTCACCACAAGATGTAAACCATTGGTGAGCCTCAAAAACAGGAAGGCCAGATTAGAGTTTGCCAAACGACATCTAAAAAAGCCTTCACATTTCTGGAACAACATCCTATGGACAGATGAGACCAAGATCAACTTGTACCAGAGTGATGGGAAGAGAAGAGTATGGAGAAGGAAAGGAACTGCTCATGATCCTAAGCATACCACCTCATCAGTGAAGCATGGTGGTGGTAGTGTCATGGCGTGGGCATGTATGGCTGCCAGTCAAACACTGGTTCTCTTGTATTTATTGATGATGTGACTGCTGACAAAAGCAGCAGGATGAATTCTGAAGTGTTTCGGGCAATATTATCTGCTCATATTCATCCAAATGCTTCAGAACTCATTGGACGCCACTTCACAGTGCAGATGGACAATGACCCAAAGCATACTGCAAAAGCAACCAAAGAGTTTTTTAAGGGAAAGAAGTGGAATGTTATGCAATGACCAAGTCAATCACCTGACCGGAATCCTATTGAGCATGCATTTTTCACTTGCTGAAGACAAAACTGAAGGGAAAATGCCCCAAGAACAAGCAGGAACTGAAGACAGTTGCAGTAGAGGCCTGGCAGAGCATCACCAGGGATGAAACCCAGCGTCTGGTGATGTCTATGCGTTCCAGACTTCAGGCTGTAATTGACTGCAAAGGATTTGCAACCAAGTATTAAAAAGTGAAAGTTTGATTTATGATTATTATTCTGTCCCATTACTTTTGGTCCCTTAACAAGTGGGAGGCACATATGCAAACTGTTGTAATTCCTACACCGTTCACCTGATTTGGATGTAAATACCCTCAAATTAAAGCTGACAGTCTGCAGTTAAAGCACATCTTGTTTGTTTCATTTCAAATCCATTGTGGTGGTGTATAGAGCCAAAAATGTTAGAATTGTGTCAATGTCCCAATATTTATGGACCTGTTTGTAAATAAGAGCTGACTTTTGTAAGCCCCAGCAGTGTCATATGATTTGTCTCAATCCCTTCCCTGCCAATTCTGCTGAACAACTTGGCCTGCATGTGAATGTGGATAAAAATATATATAAATGCACGTGAAATAAACACACATATACAGAAAACTGTCATTACAAGTTTGAACCTTATACAAGTACTAAAGGTGATCTTTCATCAACTACATTATGTTTCACTATAGTGGAATTTTAATTCTTCTTGACTGTATGGTCATGCAGGGACCAAAGAAATTAGATTGATCTCCGGGTACCTTTTTACATTTTAAGATGCATAAGCTAAACAAAATGATATTCTGTTTTTTTGTGTGTTTTTTGCAGTATTTGGAATTGATTGATGATCTGATGAATATTGTCAATGTGAACTGTTTTTGTTTTCATTTGTATTTTACATTATTTTTTTGTCTTGTTTTAATCCTTCAGCTAAGCAGCCAAGAGTAACAAACTGCACGCATCCTGAAAAACAGCAGCACCATGCCTGAGAAGATCAGGTCAGTCACACTACAGTACTGTGCTATGGAATATGGCAGTGCCATACATTTGAATGAATCTTATAATATTTAAAGATGCTCACATAAAAATATTATGCCTTTATCTTTCACACCTTACTGTAGGTCATCATTACCAGCAGTCTGCTGTCTGAGAAGTCCAGTTACATCACATATTGTGATGCTGTATATTACCTGTACCTGTCACTAATGATTTATAGCTGCCTTTAGAATTGGGAACATTAACAGTAAGTGCTCATGTGGTGCAGTTTTACCGCCCCCACCGCTCGCCTGAATGAGAGCATACAGTCACTCAGGGCTGCACACATGGACACTCCTTGCTTTGTGCGGTACCACTGCTGAATGTTACCCATCCAAGGGAATTGGGTTGCACCTCAACCTTATATTGTAATTTTTATTGAGAGTGGCATGGCAGATGATACAAAGTTACATGATCCAAATCCAGGCGTCAGGAAATTAGAGATTGCAGGACCTTTTCTACATGACAGCTGAAGGATCACCTGACCAGATTCAGGTGTCAGGTAATAACAGAGCACATGACCTGTTGCAGATTATGATAAATCACACTTCCTATCCAGGTAGCAGTTGATGAAAGATCACAGGACTAGTTCCTGGTGGAGATCACATGTCCAGATACATAGAGATCACATGATTAGTCCTAGTTGGCGGGAGACCACACATCCAATTCCAGGTTAAAGATGATGAGGGATCAGGTGTTAGCTGATAAGAGATCACATGGCCAGTTCCAGGCAGGAGATGATGAAAGATTACAGAACTAGTTGCTAGTGGAAATTTATGATCACATGGACTGTTTCAGATGGCAGTTGATGCGCAATCACAAAAACAGTGGCAGATGTCCTATTATAAAGGAGATCACATGTGCAGTTGTGGGGTAAAGTTACATAGAGATCAATTGACTAGTCCTAGTTGTTGTGTGACCACACATCCAGCTCCAGGTGAAAGATGAGCAGGGTTCACAGAACCATTTGCATGTGTCAGTTAATAAGAGAACACAAGCATTGGTAGTTCATGAGTGATCACCTGGCCAGTTTCAGGTAGTAGTTGATGAGAGATCTCATGACAATTTTCAGGTGGCAAGTGATGGGAGTCACTTGGTCAGTTGCTGGTTACAGCTAATTGGAGATCACTTGACTAATAGCAAATGACAGTTGTTGGCAGATGACATGACCAGTTCCAGGTGGCAGTTGTTGAAGGAACTGCAGTTTCATTTTTTCAGAATTCTGGGTTTCTGATGATTGGCAGCTGATAGTGGGGCACACTTCAGACAACTGGTGTGTGTTTTCTAGTGATAGAAGCCTAATTGCAGTGTGTCAGGCCTGCAGGTTTCTGGAAGTTTATCTTTCTTCCTGCTCCTTCAGATCTCTGTTAACATGATTCATTCTGTATTACAGCTTACCAGCTAAACTGATAAATGGTGGCATCGCTGGTCTGGTGGGAGTCACCTGCGTCTTCCCAATAGATCTGGCCAAGACACGACTACAGAACCAACAAGGGCAAGGCATCTATCGTGGGATGTAAGTGGATGGTGAAGACCTGGTGGGGCTGCATATTGTGTATACTTCACACCAATCTCTTTGTACAGCTCCCAGTTTAGTCAAACTGGCTGCTTTCTTGTCTCAGGTCAGAGATTAAGATCATAGTGAAACCACATGCTCAGCATGACAGCCAGGCAATTTGCATGTTCTCAAATAGGTCAGCGATGATAGCCTATGTTGCTCACGTTAAGCTCTGCATGCTGTTTCAACTCGAAGTGGAGGTTTGATGTTTCTCTGTCACATGAGCAGGGCCAAGGGCAAGAGTGTTTGATTCCCCAAAACATTGCTTGCAACACTCACCCCTTACTCACCTGAAGAGCTGTTGCCATTAATTTCTATGTTGAGCAGATGGGGGTCAGCAGAAGAGAAAGAGAGGTCATTGTACTATGGATATATGGTGATTGGAAATTGATATTGCCTTATTGAAAATGAAAAACAAGCTATATAGCTATACTCAGATCTCTATGTCAAATATTATAACTGTACTAAATCAAGATATGAATACTTAATGTCAAAAAGTGCTCAAAAACATTGAACGAACAATAAATTGTAAATCCTAAATTAATGTCCATATATAAGTGAATCATATAAGTAGCAGTTCACCTTTCTGTGAGAAATGTAGTATAAAATTTGGTGCAAGCTCCACCAAACGCTTGTGGGCATGCCCTCACCTTAATGAACGAAACTTTAAACTGTAAGAGGTTTTAAGAATGCAGGTTCCTTTTAAAAACTGGGAAGAAGCTATAACCGCAGATATAAATCCGAATCATGCCATATACAGACCTTTAGTCAGATGGTTCCATGTATGGAGTGATTCTGATTTATACCTGCTGTTATAGCTTTTTCCCAGTTTGAAGAGAACACGCATTCTTAAAACCTTTTATAGTTTAAAGGTCTACTCATTAAGGTGAGGGGCTGGGGCTGCAGGTTGTGCCAAAATGTATAATACATTTCTCACAGAACAAGATGGAGGGCCAGTTCACAGTAGGAATCGCACAAAAACACACTGCACTTTCCAGTGATTTACATGCAGCTCAGTGCGGTACGATTTAGCCCATTCTTTTTTTGAATGCTCCTACAGTTGTGGCCAACACAACCCCAAAAAATTGCCAGTTTGACATTGCTTTTGATCATTCAGTCATCTTGCTTACATTTTACAGGCATCTTGTAGGTCAGACAAAACAAATATAACATAACAGTTATAATGAAATAACCACAAATGTCTAATTCTGTGCTCACAGCATTTTTTTATATTCAACCCCCAAGTGTGGGATTCAATCTTAGTACTTATACTAGGGCATCCTTTTACAGTCATAACAGCTTTTAAACGTAAGCATAGCTTGACACAAGTGTCTTCCAGCGATCTATATCTTTCCCATTCTTATGGGCCTGGCCTCCAGTTCAGTCACATTAGGCTTGTCACTGCAACTGCTTTCTTTACAGAGGTCTCAATCGGATTTAAGTCTGGAACTGCTTGGCCACTCCAAATGTTCCCCTTTCCTCTGTACCATGCTGCAGTGTTGGAGGTATGTCTTGGGATCATTGTCCTGTTGAAAGGTCCAACGTCTCCCAAGCCTCAGGAGTGGACGGACTGCATCACGTTTCCATCCAATATCTCCTGGTACTGAAGAGAATTCACAGGTACCTTGCACACGCTGAAGCTTCCCTGTCACCTGCAGAAGCAAAACAGCCCCAAAGCATGATTGACCCTCCACCATGCATTCACAGTAGGCAAGGTGTTCTTTTCATCATAGGCCTTTTCTTCCTCCTCCAAACATAGCGTTGATCCATGGGCCCCCAAACAGTTCTAATTTTGTTTCATCAGTCAGCCACAGAACACTATCCCACAACTTTTGTGGTTTGTCCACATGGCTTTTGGCATACTGCAGTCGACTCTTCTTATTCTTTGGAGACAGCAAGGGGGTACCCTGGGAGTTCCTGGCACGGAGGCCTTCATTACGCAGTGTGCGTCTTATTGTCTGGGCTGAAACTTCTGTAAAATCTGTACCCACAAAACTTTTCTCAGTTCCTCAGCAGTCACACGGGGGACTTCTCTCCACTCTCTACGCTTCAGGTAGCGCACAGCAGTCGAAGTCAGCATCTTCTTTCTGCCACGCCAGGTAGATTTCAACAGTGCCCTTTGCCTTGAATTTGCGAATGATGCTTCCTAGGGTGTCTCTTGGTATGTTTAACATCTTTGCAATCTTCTTATAGCCATTGCCCTTCCTGTGAAGAGAAATCACCTCATCTCTTGTCTTCCTGGACCATTCTCTTGCCTTCACCATGTTTGTAACCACACCAGTAAATGTCAAATAGAAGGAGGGAGCTGAGTATCACAGTCATTTTAAAGCTGCCTAATTGGTGCTTATTATGCTTGATTGCTGCTCGGTGACATCCACAGGTGTTTTCAATACCTGATGGAAAGCACCTGTATTGAACCCTGTTCTTCAGAGTGGTAGTCTTTAAGGGTTGAATAATTGTGGCAATGAAGAAACCACATAAGAACCATTTACTACTGTATTACATAAACAATTGATGTCATTTTAGTTGCATTTGGGTAGTTACAACGTCCTTGTAGGATTTGATTCTGAATACAATTCCAAATGTACACTATAGTCCCTAAACCCCTTTACAGCATTGGGGTTGAATATTTTGGCCACAACTGTATCTCCTTTAGTGGAGTTTTGTAGCTGGCATGCCCTCCTCCTTCCTGCGATGATTCACACCACTTCCAGCACGGAGCAGAATATGTTTGTTATTAACAGAGAACTATTTGTGGAGATAAAACTATGTGTTTTATAAGATGATATTGTGTGGTGTGTGTGTGTGTACAGTCGAATGGGTAGAAGGGTTCCGAACAAATGTAAAAAAAAAAAAAAAACTTCAGCCCTTTTATAAACATATCTAGTCATGAATCCATGTTTCAATTCAGTCAAAGTCATTATTTAAAATCTCTCTTTCCCTACCATTGCTTCCACTTTCTCTCCCCCCAATCCCTACTTTTCTCTCTGTCTGCTATCCCCCACTTCTCTATCCCTCCTGTCCCTCTCTTCTCTCTCCTGTATATCCCCTACTTCTCTCTCCTCCTATATCTTACTTCTCTCTTCCTCCTGTCACCTTCTTCTCTCTTCCTCCTGTCACCTTCTTCTCTCTTCCTCCTGTCACCTTCTTCTCCTCTTCCTCTGTCACCTTCTCTCTCTCCCCTATCACTTCTCTCCCCCTCTATCCCCTACTTTTTTCTCCCTCCTGTTCCCTACTTCTCTCTCTTTCCTATCTCCTTCTTCTTCGCTTTCCCTCATATCCCCTTCTTCGCTTTCCCTCATATCCCCTTCTTCGCTTTCCCCTCATATCCCCTATTCTTCGCTTTCCCTCATATCCCCCTTCTTCGCTTTCCCCCCCTATCCCCTTCTTTGCTTTCCCTCCTATCCCCTTCTTTGCTTTCCCTCCTATATCCCTTCTTTTCTCACCCTCCTCCTATCCCCTACTTTTCTCTCTCTCCCTCCTCCTATCCCCTACTTTTCTTTCTCCCTCCTCCTATCCCCTACTTTTTCTCTCCCTCCTCCTATCCCCTACTTTTCTCTCTCCCTCCTCTTATCCCCCTACTTTTCTCTCTTCCTCTCTCTTATCCCCTACTTTTCTCTCCCTCCTCCTATCCCCTACTTCTTTTTCCGTTCCCTCCTCCTATCCCCTACTTGTCCTTTTTCCATTTCCCTCCTCCTATCCCCCCACTTGTCTTTCCGTTTCCCTCCTTCTATCCCCTACTTGTCTTTCCGTTTTCCCCCTCCTCCATCCCCCACTTGTCTTTCCGTTTCCCTCCTTCTATCCCCTACTTGTCTTTTCTTTCCCTCCTTCTATCCCCTAACTTGTCTTTCCCCCTCCTCCTATCCCCTACTTTCTTTTTCCGTTTCCCTCCTTCTATCCCCTACTTGTCTTTCCGTTTCCCCTCTCCCTTCCCCCCTCTTGTCTTTCCGTTTCCCTCCTCCTATCCCCCCTTGTCTTTTCCGTTTCCCTCCTTCTATCCCCCCCTACTTTCTTTTCCGTTTCCCTCCTTCTTTTCCCTTGTTGTCTTTTTCCGTTTTCCCTCCCTATCCCCTTTCACTTGTCTTTCCCTTTCCTCCTTCTATCCCCCTACTTGTCTTTCCGTTTCCCTCCTCCTATCCCCTACTTGTCTTTCCGTTTCCCTACTTTCCTATCCCCACTTGTCTTTCCGTTTCCCTCCTTATATCCCCTACTTGTCTTTCCGTTTCCCTCCTTCTATCCCCTACTTGTCTTTCCGTTTCCCTCCTCCTCTTCCCCTACTTGTCTTCCGTTTCCCTCCTCCTATCCCCTACTTGTCTTTCCGTTTCCCTCCTCCTTCCCCCTACTTTCTTTCCGTTTTCCCTCCTTCTATCCCTACTTGTCTTTCCATTTCCCTCCTCCTATATCTACTTCTCTTTCCGTTTCCCTTCTCTCCGATCCCCTCCTTCTCTTTCCCTCTAACCTCTCCCTCTCTCACCCCCCCCCCCCACAACTATATACATCTATGTTTTTGTCTTTCATACCCGCTCTCTTTCCCCTTTTCTTCTACTCATTCTTACTTTTTTTTTCATGTGTTCCCCCCTTCCCCTCACTTTCTCTTTTCTCTCTTGTCCTTCTTTATCCCCCCTTTTTCACCTCTCTCTTTTTGTATTCCTTTTTCTCTGACATCCCTTTTCTACACTCCCCATTTCCCCATCCCACTTCCTCGCTCTCCTTTGTACCTTACCACTCTACCGTCTCCACTTTTTTTTCTCTCTCTCTCCCCCTTCTTCCTCTCTCCCCACTATCTCTCTCCCTACCATCTCTCTCCCTCTCTTTCCCCCCTTCTCTCCCTCTCTTTCCCCCACTCTCCCTCTCTTTCCCCCACTCTCCCTCTCTTTCCCCTACTCCTGCCTCTCTTTTCCTTTTTCCTCTCTCAGGTTTGACTGCCTCATAAAGACGGTTTCGCTCAGAAGGATTCTTTGGAATGTACAGAGGTATTGGGTGGGAATCAGATCAAAGTTTTATGTTGCAATGTGTTTTTACTAAATCAAAGGCCCAGAGGAGTCCCACAAGGCCTTGCAGGGCAAATGTCAAGGGCTGTGATGCAACATTTAGCAGTCTTGTGATCTCATCCTGTGTGTTATCTGTTATATTCGCTGTCGCACAACTTGTGCTCCACATTTTCTACTCATAAATACTCATGTTAATATGAGACAGGTACTATCCACTTTCCCCAGCCAGGGCAAAAGTGAACAACACTGGCTGCCAAAGAACTACAAGTCCCAGCTTGTCTAAGCTGTCACTGGCTGCCAGGTGTGACATGCTGGGATTTAGACTTCAAGAGCAAAAAGGCTGCACTGGGGTAAAAATCTGCAAAATTCCCCAGAATGTCAGCAAAAAAGGATCTCTTCTGTTCAAACTCTATATAAAACAACCAAATTTACACCCAACTATATCCATATATCTATACACAACTTTATCCACACTATGCTTCAGGTGTATGTTATGTTTTCTTCTTTTGTCCTTATTACATAAACAATTTTTAAAATATGCAGTTTACTGCGATTTGTGATAATTGTTACCTTTTGTCCATCAATGACAGGTGCGGCTGTAAATCTAACACTTGTGACTCCAGAAAAGGCAATCAAACTGGCAGCTAATGACTTTTTTTTTCGAAACATTCTTTCTCAAGAGGGGTATGGTTTAATACAGTCTAATCTCCTCTGTCTTGCTCTCTTCTTTTTTCACTGTCCAGCTCTGTTAAGCTCTATTCTGTCTTGCTCATTTTGCTCAGCTCTGTCCTGATCTCCTCTATTCTTCTCTGTTCTGCTCCTCTCTGCTCTGCTGTCTTCCACACTGTCTTGCTGTCCTGTGCACTTTCTTTTCCTCTGCTCTGATCTGTTGTGTCCTGTTTACCTCTTCCTGATCTGTTGTGCCCAGGCCCTGCTTCCCTCTGCTCTTTACTGCTTTTCTCTGAACTGTCCTGCTTTTCAGTCCTCTTCTGTGCTCTTTGCTCTGTCCTGTTCTCTGTTCTGCTACCCTCTGCTCTGCCATGCTGTATTCCACACTGTATTGCTGTCCTCTGCACTATGCTACTCTTTTTTTTCTCTGCTTTGATCTGCTGTGTCCCACTTCCCCCTGCTCTTTTATGCTTCTCTCGGAACTGTCCTGCTTTTCTTTCCTCACCTTTGCTCTGTCCTACCATCATTTGCAATGTTCTTCTTTCCTGGCCTCTTCTTTGTTCTGATCTGCTCGTCCTCTGTCCTCTCCTCTGCTCAGCCCTGATCTCTTCTGCTTTATTCCACTCCCCTTTCCTTTTCACTGTCTTACTTCTCTCACCTCTGCCTTGCCCTGTTCTTCTCTACTCTGCTTTGTCCTGCTTTCCTCTGTCTTGCTCTCTTCTGTTGTGTCCTGCCCTTCCCTCTTTTGCTCTGTCCTGCTCTTCTCTGTTCTGTTCCTGACACCTTCATGCTCTGCTATGATCCCAGGGTCCTGCTCTCCTTTACACAGTCCTGGTCCTCTTTTGTCGGCACTGTCCTGTTCCCCTTTGCTCAGCCCTGTCCTGCTGTTCTCTACTCTGTTCTGTCTTTCTCCCCTCTGCTTGACTCTCTTCTCTCCTCTGCTGTTCTGTTTCCCTCTTGGCTTTCTCCTGCTGTCTTCTCCTCCTACTCTGGTCAGTACGGCCCCTGTGTGCTTTCATCTCCTATGCTCTGTCTTGCTCACATCTGTACTATTGTGCATTCTTCCCCTCTACTTTGTTCTGTCCTGCTCCTTTCTAAAGTGCCTTTCTCTACTGTCCTCACTGTATTGCTTCTCTTTTCTGTACTGTTCTGCTTTACTTTCCTCTTCTTTGTCTTTCTCTCTCCTGCTCCTCCTTGATCCCCTCTGCTCTGTTCTGTTCCCTACTCCTATGCTCTGTGTTTCTCTCCTCTGCTTTGCTTTGTCCTGCTATTGCCTGCCCTGTTCTGTCCTAATCCCTTTTTTGCTCTCTTCTGCTCTGTCCAGCTTTTCTCTACTCTGTGTCACTCTTCAGCTTTCCCTGGTTCTAGTATTTGCTCTGTTCTTAGTGTTTCAGTCCAAAATTTCATTTTTATGGACAACTGTCCCGAAAAAATGAGGGATGCCTCAGACTTTTAAAGGACCCATCACCATAATATGACACCTCCCAACAGTGATATGATCATCCTGTGCAAAACTGGCCATCCTATTATGGCTGCGCACTATTTTTTCCCAACTACATTTTCAGTTCTACATCAAATCTAGAAATAAACTTTGTAACTGTGATTCTTAATTGCAGAAAAAAATTAGATTGTTTTTCCTCACTCTTTCAACAACAGCCTGCATTTTATTTGGGTTGTCTCTAAATTCCTGAACTGTAGGCTATGCTGGAACTTCTCTGCTCTGTTCCGCTCCCTTATGTCTCTATCATTTTATGATTTTCTGTTTTACAATATTTTATTTGTTTATATTTTATATATTTTTGTATTTGTCCCCTTTACTGTTCTGCTTTCTAATATAGTGCAGTAAATGAAATATTGCTGATATAACCTGTTGATCTGTCACTCCCTCTTATGGTTGCAGAAAGGAACTGACGCTGTTCCGAGAAATGTTGGCTGGGTGTGGGGCTGGGACCTGTCAAGTGGTGGTGACGTCCCCTATGGAGATGCTAAAAATCCAGCTGCAAGACGCAGGACGCCTGGGTAATCTGGGGTATGGGAGAGCAGATGCCTTTTTTTATTTTGCACTAACATTTCAGGTCAAGTTTTCGGGGTGTATTCCCTTCTTCAAGGTCCAAGCAGTACTAATACACAATGTTTTAGGACCAAAGTCACAAACAAGGATGAACTTGCACAGACACACCATCAAGGAACATGGGGAAGACAGTTTCTGCACACCTGTGGGACATAATTTCTCACATCCGAATCCAGAGAGATTAGTACACGTATTCGGTTTTTATTGCTGTCTGTGCCCCCACTAGGCAGATGTACACTTATTATTTGTCCTGTTTACTTATATCATTGAAAGTGGAAGTAAAAGAAAACCCCAGATTTTGGGTTGTCTCCATTAAAGAAATAGAGGGAAAATTTTCCAAGGGGGACACTAGTTCTGGTGATCTGGGGGTCCCCAAGGAATTCCCTTAAAATGTTACTAAACCCAGGACCCTGCATTCACTATATCTGGTCTCCCACAGTACACAGAACATGGACATGCAATTATTTTAGTAAATATAAACTGCTAAATACCTTCTATCATCAGCAGTTAGAGCAGTCTTGTGACTTCTATCAGTGTTCAGCAGAGCACTGGTTAAAGCTTGTAGGAGGTGTTTTCTTTCTGCTCTAGGAGGATGCAGATCCCCTGATCTCTGTCTGGCAAGTGCTGATTGGCCCTGTGCTGTTCACATGCACTCTCCCAAGAAACAAATAAATAAAAAAAACCTCTCTAGCAATACACACCAAACTGAGCTTGTGCAGAGTGACTCCACACAATATGTCTTATCAGGAGAGAAGAGGGGGACACTGAAAGAAGGTGAGGATCAGAGAAGTCAGGATCAAACAGTCTTTTTACACAGTGCAGAGGATTAACCTCTTAAGTTCCACAGTGAGTATAACACGCATGCTTTACTGCATATTATTATTATTATTACATCGAGTTTATATAGCGCCAAAGGGTTTGCTCAGCGCTGTACAATATATACAGACTGATTTTACTATTGTGGGTTTAGTAACACTTTAATGTCTTAGTTCTTAACCAGGCACTTATACCCCCTTATTTACCAGGCCAATTTTCAGCTTTCAGCGCTGCCGCACTTTGATTGACAATTGCGCGGTCATGCAACATTGTACCCATATGAAATTTTGATCATTTTTTTCTCACAAATAGAGCTTTCTTTTGGTGGTATGTAATCGCCACTGGGCGCTTTACTTTTTGCGCTATAAATAAAAATTGCAAAAAATTTGAAAAAAAAAAAAAAAAGTTTCTTTGTTTCTATTATAAAATTTTTCAAACAGGTATTTTTTCTCCTTCACTGATGTGCGTTGATGAGGCAGCACTGATGGGCACTGATAGGCGGCACTGATGGGCACTGATAGGCAGCACTAAAGGGCACTGATAGGCAGTACTAATGAGGTGGCACGGATAGGCGGCACTGATAGACAGCACTAATGAGGTGTCACGGATAGGCGGCACTGATAGGTGACACTGATGATGGGTACTGATAGACGGCACTGACTGGCATCACTGCTGGGCACTGACTGGCGGCACTGACTGGCACAATACCCCTGGGCACTGACTGGTGGCACTGACTGGCAGCACTGCTGGGCTGCACTGGTGGGCGGCACTGGTGGTGGGTGGGCACAGTTGGGTGGCACTGCTGGGCACAGGTAGGTGGCACTTCTGGTGGCACAGGTGTGTGACACTGCAGAGTGGCACAGGTGGGTGCACTGCTGGGCACAGGTGGGTGATCTGCTGGGCACAGGTGGGCGGAGCTAGTGGGCGCACTGCTGGGCACAGGTGGGCGGAACTTGCGGGTGGCACTGCTGGGCACCGATCATCAGGGCACTGATCATCCGTGCCCTGATGATCGGTGCCGATCCCCACTCTGACAACTGCCGGTTCTCGGCAGTACTTTCCTCACGATCTGACAGCGTGAGGAAAATGCAGCCGAGAACCGGCACTTGCATTTCCCTCTGATCAGCGTGTCATTGTACACCGCTGATCACGTGGTAAAAGGCCGCTGTGATTGGCCTTTTACCACATCACGTGATCAGCTGTGTCCGTAGGACAAAGCGATCACGGAGATCGCCGGGTGCACGCCCCAGGAGAGCGCGTTCTGGGAGGACGTCATATGACGTCCACTCAGAACTGGCCGGCCGCAGTGCAGCCGTCATTCGGCTATCTGCGGTCGGCAACTAGTTAAAGGGAATTTCAAAACTCTTACAGAAAGGAAAAAACTTTTGAACTAAGAATGATAGCTCTATTTGACACAAAAGATAATGGCCTAAATCAAGACCTGGGTTTTCTAAAACACTAACCGTTTTAACGCCCCCCCCCCCCCCCCCCCCCCCCCGTGACTGTAACACCTAGCCCCCCCAGTCTATAGCTATCTCTCCTTGTCTTCTCTTACTAACTATACTAGTTTAATTGATTTCTATGTACATTTGTTTTTTTTTATTTCCTTCAGAGATTGTCTTACTTTAACATTCTGCTAACACTTTGTATTCATTATTCAGTATTCATACTGCTTGGACCTTGAAGAAGGGGGTACACCCCAAAAGCTTGTCTTGAAAAATTATGTTAGGGCAAATTAAAAAAGTACTATGAACAGTACTTAATTGGTTTTGTCGCAAGTGCACAAATACAGCTACAATTACCTTAATCAATATTCATTACAAAATGAAGGTCATTAATACACTAGGAACTAGCGACTACACCAAAGTGCTGGGCACAAATTGACTCCTGCTGCAGTAATCACTAGTTCCTGGTGGATTGAAAAACTGAATATGTGTTAAGGGAACAATATGGTGATCATTGTGCTTTCTACAACTGAACTCTGGACTTTACTGTTGCAGCAACACAGAGAGTCGTAGCTGGTGATGGAAAGGCGACCATCCCTCAGTCTGCCCAAAGGCCCTCAGCCTTACGGATATCGAGAGACCTTCTCCGTACCCAAGGCGTCTCTGGAGTGTACAAGGGTCTGGGGGCCACACTACTCAGGTAAAAAAAAAAAAACAGTCCTTTGTGCTGATGTAAAAAATGCCAGCTCTGAAAAATATAATGCTTCTCTCTCCTAAACAGAGACGTCCCATTCTCCATCATCTATTTTCCGCTCTTCGCCCAATCTCAACAAATTGGGGACAAAAATCGTCCCATGAAAAGGCGCCATTTTACCATTCTTTCATTTCGGGATGCATTGCTGGATCTGTGGCTGCCGTTGCAGTGACACCACTCGATGGTGAGTGCAAAGACTTTATTGTCCCAAAAACTAAGCCATAATGCTTGATTTTTTTTAGCAATGAAGTCTGATATAAACAATAATATGATATATAACACACAACAATAATTGAGTTACAGCTTAGTGAATTGAGCGTTAAATCTTTCAGTGCTGATGACTGCGATACAGATAGAAAATATTTGCATGGAAGCCAGTGTGTTTCACATGCACATTCTTATACAGTGGATATAAAGTCTACACACCCCTGTTGAAATGACAGGTTTCTGTGATGTAAAAAAAATTAGACAAAAATAAATCATTTCAGAACCTTTTCCACCTTTAATGTAACCTATAAACTGCACAACTCATTTGAACAACAAACTGAAATCTTTTATGTGGAGGGAAGTAAAAATAAAAAACTAAACTAAAATGGCTGCATAAGTGTGCACACCCTTAAACTAATACTTTGTTGAAGCCCCTTTTGATGTGTTTCCAGCACTCAGTCTTTTTGGGTATGAGTCTATCAGCATGGCACATCTTGACTTGGCAATATTTGCCCACTCTTCCCTGCAAAACACTCCAAATCTGTCAGATTGTGAGGGCATCTCCTCTGCACAGCCCTCCAGATCACCCCACAGATTTTCAATCGGATTTAGGTCTGGGCTCTGGTTGGGCCATTCCAAAACCTTAATCTTCTGGTGAAGCCGTTCCTTTGTTGATTTGGATGTATGCTTTGGGTCGTTGTCATGCCGAAAGATGAAGTTCCTTTTTCATGTTCAGCTTTCTAGCAGAAGTCTGAAGGTTTTGTGCCAATATTGACTGGTATTTGGAACTGTTCATAATTCCCTCTACCTTGACAAAGGTCTCAGTTCCAGCTGAAGAAAAACAGCCCCCAAGCATGATGCTGGCACCACCATGCTTCACTGTGGGTATGGTGTTCTTTTGGTAATGTGCAGTGTTGTTTTTGCGCCAAACATATCTTTTGGAATTATGGCCAAAAAGTTCAACCTTGGTTTCATCAGACCATAACACATTATCCTACATGCTTTTGGGAGACTTCAGATGTGTTTTTGCAAACACATACAGAAAGGTATATCAATATACCTTTTGTAGAGTTTACCCCCCAGGAGCCGCTTGATGTGTTGAGTCCCCTGTTTCTGTGAACAGTGGCACGCACTCTGACACACCTGACCAGGTGGGGAATGTATACTGCAGGTAACTGTATATACACCCAAAGACTCAAGGTGCATAGACACCAGGAATGACACAGCAACTGGTTAACTAAGAGGAAAAAGTAAATTGCAAAAGGGTAAATAAAGAAGAAATATACTGTAATGAATAAACTGTAAAATAATTATACTGCAATGATGAAACTGTAAGATACATTTACTGAAACAATTAAGCAATAGGTGTAATATGCTGCAGAAACAATAATTGTTATAATTGGAAAACCCTAACTCGGAGGATCGATCTGTCTGTCTGTCTGTCTCCTAGATTGTAAGCTCCAAGGAGCAGGACCCTCCTATCCCTCTTGTATTGAACTGTATTGTTGCTGTATTGTTTCCCATTATATTGTAAAGCGCTGAGCAAACTGTTGGCGATATATAAATCCTGTATAATAATAATAATATATATATATATATATATATATAATAATAATTAGTATGCTTCTGTTTTTCTTTTGCTATCCAGTTTGTTGGGGCCCAACCGTTATGGTGGAGCACTCCATTTAAGAGCTTATGCAGGCACTGCCACTGTATTTCTTGCAGACAATTCTGTATATCTGTTATCCAGGTATAGTACAGGGTTGTCCAGCAGCCTATCACCACTCTGTGTCAGAAGGGGATTTCCTTCTGCTTGCTGGCAAAGTGTATCCCAATCAGTGTCCTCAGCCTCCGGCTTCTCAATTGGGCAGCAGGCTCAACCAACCAGAATCCAGGATGCCCTCCGATGTTCTGGAATGACTGCCACTACATCTCTCTGTCACTTTGATGCAGTGGTCCGCTCACAACCTCAATTCCTCTGAAAAACTTCCCCTCTCAGCCCAAGATAGTTACAACACTCCTTCTCCACTACAGTACTGCTGGGAGTTGAAATCCTCTAGAGTCTGAAGCTAACACTGGATTCTGTAGAAATGATACATCCCACAATCCTTCACATTTCTTCCCAGAGTCTCTGGCAGCCCTTATTTTCAGTTTGCCCCCTAGTGGATGGAGGGTGGTGTAACACTGGCTGCTGTATGTTTTGTTACAACAGCCTCTACTGCAGTTGCATCACAAACACAGTCATTCTCCAGCCAGAGCTGCAGACTGTGCTTCACCTTTATGAGTGGATGTCAGTCTGGTGGAGTGGGTGCTTCTAGGCAGACTGTATTGGGGATGGGGGAGGAAAGGGCTAAATGAGATGCTGGACGTCTTCTAGCCACGTTGTGCTCTATCTGACTTGCTGTAGCTTTTAATGCACATTTTGAGAAGCTCACAGTGTGCAGTGAAAGCAACTGCAGTACATGAAAGGAGCCTGTACAACTGTTCAAGACTGATAGGAGGGCTCAAAAATCCAAAATGAATATATCACATTTAAGGACCAGAAAAGAGTTGTATAATACAATTTTGTTTTTTGGTTTAGATACACATTAAGCTAATAATTTTTGTGAACCTATATTTTTTTTTAAAGTTTCTTACTTGTAGATTCAACCAGTAACAGTACTTTCAGTTATAGACTGTCAATGTTAAATGAGAAGTATAGCCAAAGCTTTTTTGGCTAACTGCAGGAGTGAAGTTAGTTCTGACGTCACGGAGGCGGTGCAGGCTCTGAAAAGATCCAACCATATTGTCGGGATCCACTCAGAAGCCTGGATTGGCACCTGGCTCAGCCTCTCAGCGATCAGCCAAGAACCTGAGCCAGCCTCTTGCCCCCTCCGCAGCCCAGCGTTCCAGTGAGCATCAGGGGGGCAGAGCAGAGTGCAAGAGACTGACAGTCATTGCTCTCTGCTCAGAAGGAAGAGCTGAGCGATCAATGGTGTTTGATCGCTCAGTACTCACTACAGAGCTGGTGATTGACAGATATAGCATTGGATTGATGCTGCATCCACCTAGGTGAGTATAAATGGGTTTTTTTTTTCAGTAAGCCATACTTTTCTTCTAAACCACTGCCTTGCAATTGGCAGTGGTGTTGTTAGCCTGGTGTGCAAACTCCTTCAGTTAACCATTGGGCTGCATGTGCCTTTTGAGGACCTGATACCCCTGAAAAGCATGGTGCTTAAAATCCCCTAGTGTGTACTGCCATGGGTTGGCTTTAGATATTTTATTTTAATACTTTAATAAATAAGACATTATAATTGTATAAATATGAAATCTGTTTCAGTGCTAAAGACGCGGATACAGACACTGAAAAAGGGAATCGGTGAAGATACGTATCATGGGATTGTTGACTGCGCCAGGTAAGCTTTTACCAAGTACACTGAACTTACAGCCCTCCATCTTCAAAGGAACTACAAATCCTGCCATGTTTTGCCAGAAAGGCACAGCTATGTCAGAGGGAAGGCTGCATGGAGTAAGGGCAAGGTAGACTTTGTTAAATAGAGGAAGTATCAATAGAATTTTGTCACCTAAGGGCAGCCCTGTGAAGTATTAAAGGGCCAATAGCACTCTTAGCAGCTTCTGTGGCTCTAGATACACCCTTAAAGTGGATAAAAAACCTAAATTCCTTGCATTAAGATACAAAAGATTTAGTCATCAGTATTGCCCCTTCACCCCCCTTTTACATACCTGAGCCCTCATTTGATCCAGCGCAGTGCTTGTCTGTAGCTCTTACCTTCCTTGCCCCACAGGCTTTACTGAGGCAGCAGAAGCTATTGCTGTGCATTCAGTGATGAGGGAGCGGGGGTGGGTCTGAGTACCGCTGTCTGTGGCTGCAGACGCAGGTAGTGGGGCTTGGGAACAAGCCTGCATGGGTGCCCTCATAAGAAGTAGCTTCCTATAGGGGTGTTCGCCGGAGAGGAGAAGCCAAGAGCACCAGCATGTGACCTGAGAAGGGCAGCTTGGCGGCAGCTCTGTGCAATTCCATTGCACAGAGCCAATAAGTATAAACCGGTTTGTTATTTAAAAACAAAATTAAAAATTGTCAGTCATTTTAATTGGTGCATTTAGATGAAAAATTTTTGCCAATTACAACAGGCTGGAAAACTGTGCTAAATTCTCAAGGGATAAGCAGCGATTACAAACTGCATATTGGTTTGTAACAGATCTGGTTTGTGATAGAAATCCCACACTGTACAGAGTGACGATAATCCAACTTCATACAGACCAGTAGTGATGGTGATCCCATGCCATACAGTATGCAAATAGGAGTGATGGTGATCCCATGCCATACAGTATGCGAATAGGAGTGTTGGTGATCCCATGCTGTACAGGAAAAGAAGAAGAATGATAGCAATCCCACACTGTACTGGAGGAGAATAGGAGTGACAGCAATCCCACACTGTACTGGAGGAGAATAGGAGTGACGGCAATCCCACACTGTACCGGAGGAGAATAGGAGTGACAGCAATCCCACACTGCACTGGAGAATAGGAGTGACGGCAATCCCACACTGTACAGGAGGAGAATAGGAGTGACAGCAATCCCACACTGTACCGGAGGAGAATAGGAGCGATAGCAATCCCACACTGTACAGGAGGAGAATAGGAGGGACAGCAATCCCACACTGTACAGGAGGAGAATAGGAGGGACAGCAATCCCACACTGTACAGGAGGAGAATAGGAGTGACAGCAACCCCACACTGTACAGGAGAATAGGAGTGATAGCAATCCCACACTGTACAGGAGGAGAATAGGAGGGACAGCAATCCCACACTGTACAGGAGGAGAATAGGAGTGACAGCAATCCCACACTGTACAGGAGAATAGGAGTGATAGCAATCCCACACTGTACTGGAGCAGAATAGGAGGGACAGCAATCCCACACTGTACAGGAGGAGAATAGGAGGGACAGCAATCCCACACTGTACAGGAGAATAGGAGTGACAGCAATCCCACACTGTACAGGAGAATAGGAATGATAGCAATCCCACACTGTACTGGAGCAGAGAATAGGAGGGACAGCAATCCCACACTGTACAGGAGGAGAATAAGAGGGACAGCAATCCCACGCTGCACTGGAGAAGAATAGGAGTGATAGCAATCCCACACTGTACAGGAGGAGAATAGGAGTGATAGCAATCCCACACTGTACAGGAGGAGAATAGGAGTGATAGCAATCCCCACACTGTACCGGAGGAGAATAGGAATGATAGCAATCCCACACTGTACCGGAGGAGAATAGGAGGGACAGCAATCCCACACTGTACAGGAGGAGAATAGGAGTGACAGCAATCCCACACTGTACAGGAGGAGAATAGGAGCGATAGCAATCCCACACTGTACAGGAGGAGAATAGGAGGGACAGCAATCCCACACTGTACAGGAGGAGAATAGGAGTGACAGCAACCCCACACTGTACAGGAGAATAGGAGTGATAGCAATCCCACACTGTACAGGAGGAGAATAGGAGGGACAGCAATCCCACACTGTACAGGAGGAGAATAGGAGTGACAGCAATCCCACACTGTACAGGAGAACAGGAGTGATAGCAATCCCACACTGTACTGGAGCAGAATAGGAGGGACAGCAATCCCACACTGTACAGGAGGAGAATAGGAGTGACAGCAATCCCACACTGTACAGGAGGAAAATAGGAGTGACAGCAATCCCACACTGTACAGGAGGAGAATAGGAATGATAGAAATCCCACACTGTACAGAAAGAGAATAGGAGTGATAGCAATCCCACACTGTACAGGAGAATAGGAGTGATAGCAATCCCACACTGTACAGGAGAATAGGAGTGACAGCAATCCCACACTGTACAGGAGGAGAATAGGAATGACAGCAATCCCACACTATCCAGGAGAATAGGAGTGATAGTAATCAAACACTGTACAGGAGAATAGAAGTGCTAATCCTGTGCCGTACAGGAGGAGAGCAGTTGTGTTTTCTCATACCAATTGCTATCTTATTCCCTTCTCTCTATAGGAAGATCTGGAGGAATGAGGGTCCATCGGCATTCATGAAGGGAGCCTGGTGCAGAGCCCTGGTCATCGCCCCTCTCTTTGGAATAGCACAAGTTGTGTATTTTATTGGAATAGGTGAATTTATTTTGGGATATTCCAAGTAAATAGCAGCAGGAAATCTGGAATCTCTCATAGAAAACAAACATCAAGAGAACATTCTTGAGACTGTGAATGATTACCCAGAAGAGATGGAGCCATCCAGTAGCTTCTGTTTTAGAAGAGACTTTTTTTCACTTTCAACTTTGTTGTCTCAAAAACAATCCACAGCAGCCTATTCAGAGGTGGAGCCATTTTATCGATCTGCAGCTGCATCACTTTAAATATGAAAAAACCCATTAATTTCTCATTTGATTATTCTGCTTATTAACTGCTACAAATACTCAGCCTGGACCTCTGCAAGCAAATGCTCAATCCACCCAAAAGACATATTTAATTGGTTGTTGAATGCTGGAGCATTATAACCCCTTGACAGTCTCTTCTATTGTTTGGCAACTCTTGATTTTCACACAGAGTTCCTTGGCCTGAACACCCACTGTGCCCATTATGGGAGATCCCACCATCCCTGCGCTATAATCCTGGATTTTTATGCCAGCTGTGCCCATTATGGGTGGTCCCCACTATTCCTGCACTGAAATGCTGGGTCTGCACACCTGCAGTGCCTATTATGAAGGGCTTTCATCATCCATGCACCGAGTTCCAAGGTCTTCACACCTGCTGTGACCATTATAAGGGGTCCCCCCAATCCCTGTGCTGTTTCTAGTGCTGCACATGTGCTGTGTGCATTATGAGGGGTTCCCACTCTTAATGTTAAGTGTTAGAATTTATCGGGTAGAGTCTGCTGGGCTGCTGCTTTTTCTATTGACTACTTTAATTCAGTTCTAATTATTGCAGCAAGTTCCTTATACTGATCCTGGGAAAGAAATTATTTTTCAACCGCAGTCATTGGCAATATAATTAGTATTATTAGGCTGAACAGAATCCTGCAGCCTTGTTGGATGCACTGTGGTAAAAATGAAATGCTAAGTTAATTAGGATGGAACTTGATATATCCAACGTATAGATATTTTTTACATTTAATATATTCTTTTTCTAACTGATTAGAATTTTCAGTGACTGTACACTGAAAGAGAACATTTGCAATACTGTCATCTAGTGGCAGAAATCGATTATTGCAGGTAGTAATATATTGCAAGTTGGCCCCTTTGTGTCATATGAAGGTCTACACAGGAACTTACTATAGTCATCAAACCCTGCAAATTTCAGCCTAATTCTGTCTTTCCATCACCTAATACTCTTTATTCACCAATGTTGTTTATGGTTTTACTAATACATGTCGTAAGGGCCAATCTTTGCACAATGGAACTTCTTCCTACAAGTTGCTCAGGTGCCTAATTTGCAGTTAGACTATGATTTTTTTTAGAAGTATATTTTAATAGAAGCTGTTTAAAATTAATTTGCTTCTATTTTATGTGTTTAGAAAATATTTTTTTTTGCCTTTTATCTTACAGCAAGATATATCAGATGACCAGTCATTTCAGGCCTTATTTATTAAGAGCTACCTGCATTGCCCCATATCAGTTAATTTGTTTCAAACTTTCTAGCTGCCATGTTTTATTGGGGTTTATATTCAGCTGTAGTAAAAGCTTTTTTTAACAGATTAATAAGGTTCTTACTTGCTTTATAAGACACCTATTATTTCACCCTGGGATTCTTACAGAAGCTTCGTATTAACCAGTGGCATTACCTGAAGTCAATATTTAACCTGACTTGCCACACACTATTATTATACAGTTTTTATAAAGCGCCAACAGTTAAAAGCTGAAATAAGGCTTGCAATGGGAGTGGCTGCACTGTAGAGCAGGAGAGGAAGGGGTTTGTGTAGGCTGACGTGAAAGCTTGGGGTGGGTATCACCAATGTAGCCAGGATCTGAAAAGTGTAGTAACCCTCTTTTTCTGTGCGATTTTAGAGCAAAGCAGGTCTGGGCAGCACACATACAGTATGTGTGCAGTAATGTGTATGTCAATCCAAATACTTGTTGGTTAGTTTTTGATAAAATGTGAAATGGTTAAAGCACCTGCTAGGTTTTTACTGTTATCTGGGGCTCCATTATTGAGATTTTCTCTTGTCTTCTGTCCCATTGACAACTGTTTCACCATACATTAAGAGAACACTTAGTGGTTACAACTGTTTGTTTCCCACTTTATTTTAAAACTAAAAAAAAAAATAATTTAGTTCGACTTTAAACGATAAACGTTCTGGCAGGTCAAATAGATCCATGGTAGGTTTTATCTATGTATCTTTTGTACTGCAGCTGCTCCTGTACCTCTCCCTTTGACTACAAGATATTACAGTAAAATTATCAGCAATGCCTTCCAATCACTTATTACAACTGTGTTCATACACACTGGATGGGTAAGCTGCACGTTATCACTTTTTAGCACAGAACCAATAGGCTGAATACTGTTAGACACCATAAACTTGAAAGTAGAAGCAGTATCGCACCTTTCTTGTCACCCTTTACATCTGGTCAGGTTCATCATGTAGGATTTGTCAATTTCTGCTCCTCCTCCAGAGTCCTTGTGTATAAGCCAACCTGATTTTTGCCAGCTGCAGGGCACCAGGTCTGGGCTAACAGACTGTCCTTTGTTTACAGTAAAGGTGCAAAAACGTCCATTTTAAATGTAAATTTTGGTCTGTATAGTTTTGTTAAACTTTTTTTATGGAATTTCTGTAAAACTACTTGATTTTAAAAGTCTAGTACGCAATATAACTAGTCAATGTCTAAGATCAATTAATACATTGTTCAAATCTGTGAAGGGTCCAATTTCTACAATACTGTCCCTATGTTTGAGCCAGCTAAAAAAGACACTACGTACAGTAGGTCACGTTAAGAAAAGGAAACTGAGTCTCCCCCCCCCTCCAAAAAAAAAAAAAAAAAAAAGCCTCTTTTTGGCTTATGTGATGGTGCCTTCAGGTAAATGTATTTCATATATTTATTGTGGAGTACTAGTGACTTTGCATCTTGTTGTCTGAATCTGTCAGAGCACAATCTGAAGCAATCACAATTTATCCAAAGCTCAAGTACTGGCAGGAGTGGCATTCCCAAATGGAATTTATCACATTTTAATTATCTGTCATCAGTCTAGTGGAGGATCACTGATGTCTTGGGCAGCATAATCCCATACACTCAATGACAGCACCTGCAGAAAGTTGCAGGAGCCAGGCCAGGTCTCATGTTGCACCACAGACATAACACAATACATATGCCACCCATCACACATGTCAGCTTTGCACCTTCCTATGAAACTGAAGAGATATATTCAGGACTGGCAGATGAGTTGTGGAACCATGTACAAGAACACTAAAACAAAAAATTACCTTGAATGTGTTCAAACAAACCTAGGGACATGCAAGAGGCCAGATAGTAGTCTTAACACAGTTATAGAACCACCATTTTTATTAAACTATACACTAAAATAAAAATTAATCAAGTAAAATCCCTTTTCACAGGGAAAGGCATCATTTATACACATTACATGCTGTATATTTTCTTGCACATAGTGCAGAGTAACCTTTTCAGTATGACTAATCCACTTATTTATTACAACAGCGTATAAGTCACCTTTTCAGTAGTCCAGTTATCAGTGTACTTGAAAGAAGAAAGGGAATAGTTTTTCCTCAGGAGGATAAAGGAAGGTTAACATTGCACCATTGCTCTTCCAAATATCCCACTGATTCAGCAAACCAGTCAATGCATCCCATGGAGGACAGGGGAAGCACTTGGGACACCTCGTGGAAACCTGAGGTCAGTGAGCACATTCGAGTCGATCAGAATATTGCCATAGGGGGTGTCAATGTAGGTTGCAGATGTAAGCGGTTGTTTATTCCATTAATGTGAAGTCTTTGTACTAGATACTGTCAGCCAGATTGAATGCTCTGAGTTAAATTATGGCTGACAAAAGTATCCTAGGTGCCTCAACTGTTCTCCACTGGAAACATTGGTTTGCTGACTCCTTCGTGTGATCTTCATACGGGCAGGGGGTGCAATTTTACTCTCCCTCTAGTCTCCTGAGAAAGCTAGATTGTGAAAGGTATTGCGGAAAGACTACTTCACTCACGTAAACTATGGTCTGGATTACTAAAAAAGACAGGTTATATACATAACCCCACACACATACATACATGGGGATTAGCCATAAAGAGGTTATCTTGCATTGGGTCAGAGAAAATATATTTATGTATAAATAAACCCTTACTAAAAATTTTGTGTTTTAGTGACAAAAAAAAAAAAATATATAATATGGCAAGTTTTATCAATGTGTTAAGATTACTAAGGGAGAGAATAATTAAATCTGGTGCAGCTGTGCAAAGTATCCAATATCAGTGTCTAACTCCAGCTTGTTCTATTAAACTTTGAAAATAAAACCTGGAAGCAGATTTGTTACGATGCCCACCTTCACCAGATTTAGTAAATCTCCCCCTCTGTGTAACACCTGCTTGCTCACTGTCCAGTGAGTTGACTCAAAATTTCATGGGAAAGTAAATGACAAAACAAGGTCATCAGCAAGAGGAACCAGTGAGTGCTACAGAAGAATGATGTTCCCAGCAGACTTTTTCAGGTGTGGAGCTACATTTGGTAATGCTGGCAGCAAGGAGTATTCAGATATTGCTTTACATTAAAGAATTAACATGACATGATCTTTTAAAGGATAAGTGTATTTCTCCTCTCCCCTCAACCTAACCCACTACTCCCTCTCCACCACTTTAAAAACTTACCTCCAGCTGCCGTTCCACTGTGTGTTTAGATCCAGTGTTGCAAGTCCTCACTATCCTACCCACAGCTATGCATTAATAGCCCAAAAACTTCCATGGGGCTGTGTCATGATGGCAAAGATAATTGAAGACCACCTCCTATGAGGTCTGTAAGCTGTAATGCACAGACATGACTGTGCAACTTAAACGACTATATGTACAAACAGAAGAATAGGAGCCATCAGATCAATGTAAGTAGGCATGCAAAGAGGGTGTGTCAAGTCAGAGGACCCCCCCCAAAAAAAAAAATATCATATATATGTTCTTTTAAAGTACACTTATCCTTTGCAGAAAATCTCCATTAAGAGAACAGGGCCACAACTGATGACCTTTTCCTGAGAATTGTACTTGCCTGGCTTAAGATACTTTGTCACTCCACTGGAACAAGCATGCAATTCAAGAACTTGTGATGTGTGCTAGTGACTCCAAAAGTACTAAAGATATTGGATCACATCTAAGCAGACAGCACTTTTGCAAGGAGAGATAAGCCTCTATATTACTAGTGCCTATGATGAAGAGGAATGGCTGAGAATATAGGTCCATGAGACCAAACCTCTTCCCATAGGCAGTATTTGGCTCTAAGCACAGACTTGGTTGTGGAGCTTTCCAGCACCTGTGCCACTCCACCCCTTAAAAAAAACATTCCTAAGCTCAAATCCAAAAATGTAATATGTTGCAGATTACCAATCATTAGATGTGGTGACTGTATGTCCCCCCCCCACCATGATCTAGCCAGTAACATGCCTCTTGCAATAGAGTGCTCACACTGTAGCTGAAGGAGCATCTTTGGACGGCAACCGTGTCAAGCTGGGAGTATTAGAGTACAGGATGTAAATACACTAACAAATGGAACCCAAACTTCAGCTCATACTTTATAATCAAGCAGGTTTTGCAATCATAAATAAAATCTGATTATAAGCAGCCCTAGCAAGTGTTTTGGGCAGCTTCACAGTATAGTCCTGCTGTACTTTGAGCAAAGCACAGCAAACCCACAGGATTGGCACAGGCATCACACCATATTCCTGTGCGAATTACATGCAATGTCTGTGTGGTGCGATTTGAGCACTATATTTTGCATGGCTCAAAATCACAAGCACACCAAAAAGGTGCAAGACCTTTTTTTTTTTTTTTTTTTTTTAACCTGCATGTGAATCACATCAGTGTTCTCACCCATTTGACACCTGCACCAGATCGCATGAACACCATGCAAATGTAATTCAAGAAATGCACAGAATTCACATTGTTTCCTGCACCACATTAGTGTGAACCCAGGCTTAAGGTGTGCTAAATGCTGACAAGTAACATTTTGACAGGATGGGAGAACAGAGGAATAATCTTTAACAGACAGCTGGTGTTTCTTCACTGTCATATCATAGGCTGGCAAGTTAGGGATAGGACTTATCTGAATTGCACACCTGGCTGACTGTGCAATGTAAAATGCCACTACCAGCTGGGGTGGGGGGTAGGGGGGGGGGGGGGGGGGGGGTGTAGAAACACTGGCACAAGTATAATCATGGTTGAACATATTGCATTGGCATAGTGGTTAGGACTGAAGTTCTTGGCTTGAATCTTGCCCAGGACACCACGTCCATGGATTTTCCATGCTTTACCTGGGCTATTGTGCCATTTCTCCCAAAGTACAAGACATTCTGTTGCATTAATTAGCTCCTACTGGACACCAACACCTTTTGAGGGCAGTAACTGATATGAAGGTCCAGTATGTAAAGCACTGCATAATACTGGCAGCACTGTAATAGGCAGAAAAAGATTGTTTAGATTTAATCACAGATATCCTCCAATCTAGGTTTTATTTAATCTTATTTTCTTTAGCCATTTGCCTGGAGTTACTTTGTGAACACATCCAGGCAACTCTTAGACAAGTACAGGGAGTGGATCAGACAGTCTCAGTTAAATGTAATAAATAAAAGATAAATTCACATGATTGCTACCATCACAAAAAGTCAGACTGGGACAGGCCTATAACACAAGGGCCATTTAGAGGGGAGTACAGTGACAAATGCATGGAAGGTGGAGGCAACAGATGCCGCAGCTGTTAATACAAGGCACAGCCTGTCTTACGGCTTGTGTTGGACCATAAAGCAGCTCGCTGATCAGAGCACCAGGTGATACAAGCCACTATGCATCACATCCAGTCATAGGAGGCACGAGCAGGGAATGACCAAAGTTACAACAGAAGCCTAAAAATTCAGTTCTGCCATTAAAAGAACAGAGGCTTTAGACTTCCACACTCACTGTAAAACAAAAAGGCAGGACAAAAATATATGCATCGAGTTCTAGGAATGCCAGTATTGTGATCACAGCACCTGTCACAGGCCACTTCTATATACAAATAAAACAAGCCAAGCACATAAAACCACAACTAAAAAAAAAAAAAAAAAAAAAAACGACAAGGAACATAAAATATTCATGAATTTCACTTTTCTGTACACTAGGGAGCAGTATATGGCATCACTCAGTCCATGAACTTGCGGTTTGTGTTTGCCCCAAACAAAGCAACTCGAATTTCTGGCATCATCTGAAAGAAAGGGAACGCAGCATTGTTACTATAAAAGCAGTGGCACCTACTGGAAGATTCTAAATACGATCTCTTGAAATACTCTGCATTGGTAGAGTATTATGCTCATTCCTCCAACTCCTTTCCTGAAGTATTTGGATAAAAAGCACATAAGTATCCAAAAGACACAAACCTGCTGGGCAATGAGGTCCAGCCGACTCTCCAGTGTGTTTGCCACCTTGATCTTGCCATCTGCGTTGTAAAGCTCTATACCTCCAGCACTGAGGAGAGAAAAAAAAAAAAAAAAAAAAAAAAACTCCAATGAAGGAGAACGCGTACAGTGCTATATTCAGGCAGGTGGTGCATCTAGCAACCTGGGTCTAAACAGATTAGAGTCATATCAGTGGCCATTTCTGATTGGCTGTTATAGACTTACCAGTAAGTCTAACAGTGGTACGCACTGCCCCATCGTTGTCAGTATGGGAGGGGCAGGGGGAATAGTGCCCCATCGTTGGTGTCAGGTGGGGGGGGGGGGGGAAGGAAATAGTGACACCAATGATGGGACACTATTCCTCCCACTGACACCAATGAAACTCAGCTTGCTGACCCGTTCCAGCATGGTGCTGCTGCAGCCAGCATACCTGGTTGCAGCATCAGCAAATCACACTTACCGGTCAGCTGTCCTTCACTCCGGCCTCTCCCTCACTCGATGTTCGTGGGGCCGCTTGGCTCCGCCTCCTCACAGGCAATTGGCCACCTGTTTGCCTTTCCTGAGCTACAGTTCTGGCACCCAATCACTGGTGAGGAGGCGGAGCTGAGCGGCAGGAGAGAATGAAGGAGCAGCGCTTCCTGGACTGGATTGTCGTGGGACTGGAACCAGGTAAGGTACAGCAGCCCCCTGCTCGCCCCTGTACTTGGTTTCCCTTCCTCACGGAAACTACACCCCTGCCAGCAGGCTGGATAATTGGCCTCGGCGGGCCACAGTTTGAGGACCTCTGGGGTAAAACAATTACTCTTCAGCTCACCCCCCCCCCCTTGTCAGGCTACATTACCTGGCATCAAATGCCGATTGAGGTTCATTCTTTAATCTGATGAAAAGCTTGGAATGGGATCTGGAGCCTAGTAGTCAAGTCCTGTGTGCATCCATGTTTTTTTTTTTTAATGTGTCCATTCACAGCTGGTTGGCTAAGGGGGAGGGGGGGGGTCTATTGTGAAAACAAAATCTTTTTTTTGCAGGATTTCTTACATCTCAGGGGCCAGGTATCCATCTTGGTCGATGACCACCTCCACATCTCTTTTGGTTGCTGCCTTGTAAATGGGAATATTTTTCTGCACAGAATTCTAGAAGAGGAAAATAAGCAGCAGATGTAACAAAAACACAATTGGGATCAAGAGAGCCTGAAGACCAGTCAGGCTTTCTAGTTATATATTTAATAAAAAAAAAAAAAAAAAAAAAAAGATACCCCCTTGTCCATTTTCAGGCACCTGCAGTGCTCATTATGAAGGGTTCCCACGTCTACACACCAGCTTTGCCCATTACAAAAAGGGATTCCTGCATCATGTTCCTGGGTCTGTATCCCTGCTGCTATGTCCATTACCTCTTACAACATTTAGGATGAAACCCAGCACAGGGTACACAGAAAATGGGGTGTCCCCATGCAGGTCACAATCTATTGCTCCATCACTGGATAACTGACCAACTAGAAACAATTTTCTCTGTACAACCTTTGTTAGCACTCACCCTAACAAGAGGCAGGTCCTCCTTGCGACACCGGATAACAACCTTTGATTCCAGCAGCTGGTACAAGCCCTATTAAAAAAAATACCCACACACCCCAGGCAGTGGAAGATCAGTTAGGAGAGGAAAAACATCCAGGAGTCTATACATTACAGAGAAATCACATCCATCCTTTACCTGTAAAATAAGCCCATCCAGCAGGGCCTGATACCGTGCTGGGTCCTTCACCACCCGTGCAAGTCGTTGCTTTGCCTCGTTTAGGAGCTCCTATGAGAATAACAATCAGTTAAAGAATGGACACATAGGACGTAAAAAAGCACTGTGTTAAACACCCCCCCCCCCCCCCAACACACCAGTGTTAACAGACAAAGTCAAACAGTGGCCATACAGAGCTCAAGAATCATCAATAGCACATTCAAAAAAAGGAGGGCCAACATCACCAGCAACCAATAAGGCTCAGATCACTAAAGGTTTAAAAGAGTTAAAAAAAATGACACAGACCTCTTCTGGGGTCCCCTGCCAGCAATCATATCATTTGTTCTGTGCAATGCAGGCAGGTTATAGCAGGAGGTTGGAGGTGCAGAATTTGTATATAGCTTCCCAGAAACATCACAGCACCCTGCCTCAGTACCCCACCCTGATGCAAGCAGTGAGATGGCCAATATAGGAATTCTGCAAATATCAAAATATGCCTTGATGAGTGGATGTCAGTTTGAAGCGGATGTACCTAGTCCAGCTGCATTTGCATGCAGACCACCCTAGGTTACACTCACATATGAGGCTGTCAATCTAGGCAAGTGGGTGTTCCTATGCATACTGTATTTGCATGCAGACTGCTCTAGGCAAGCCCACATACGTGAAGGAAATTAAATCCAATGAGAGGGGTGGGCCAGGAACAAATAGCCTGGGGAGGAAAGAGCTAGATGATGCTGGATATCCTCTAGCCAGGCAATTATATGGGCTCAGACTTAAGAAGCTTAGAGTGCAGTGAAATCAGAGTAGGCAATTTCAATATATTACAGAAGCCACTCTACCACAATACACACCACAGTCTTGGAGGTGATTTCTGAAGTTGATAATCTGGGGAGGACAATACTCCTGTACTGGATTAGGTTTGTGTGCACCGTGTATAAACACACACTCACTGGCCTATTTATTATTAGGTACCCCTGTTCAATTGCTTAGTAACACAAATTGCTAATCACATGGCAGCAAGTCAATGCACTTAGGCACCTAGATGTGGTGAAGAGGACTTTGTGAAATTCAAACAAACAGAGCATCAGAATGGGTAAGAAAAGGGATTTAAGGGACTTTGAACATGGCATGGTTGTTGGTGCCAGACAGTTTGGTCTAAGGATTTCAGAAACTGTTGGTCTACTGGGATTTTCATGCACAACCAACTCTAGTGTTGACAGATCACACAAAGTTGTATAAAAAAAAAAAAAAAAAAAAAAAAAAAAGTCTTGTTGATGTCAGCAGAATGGGCAGACTGGTTCAAGATGATCGAGTACCAGTGTTAGACTTACTGGTAACTCCTTTTCTACAAGTCTTCCAGGACAGCCCCTTGAGATATAGAGCTCCTCCCTCCGGGACAGGAAACACACCCAGAGGGGGAAAAAAAAAAAAAAAAAAAAGGGGGGGGGGGGTTACCACTAAGGGCCAAGGCCTGCACCTTTAAAGTGTTAACTGAAAGGCACTGATCTGCCCTATCCTGGAGGAAATCTAACACCGCCAGGATATCCAGAGGGATCCAACCCAACAACCAGGAGTTGAATCTTTTCCAGACCTTAGCATAAATAGCTCTATAACTGGTTTGCAGCAGTTTTCCAAAGTCCTTACTACTCTGTCAGAAAACCCCTGAACTTTCAGTTCTTCAGTAGCCACACTGCCAACCTCAAGGCTCTCACTGAACCCCAAGAGACCAGATAGCTCCCTCATTCTCTCTTCCAGACCATGGTCTCTTTGGCCAAAACAGGGCCACCAGAATGAGGTTTGTTTTCACAAAATTCTGCAGGACTGCTGGGATCAGCCTCACTGGAGGAAGCTCATAAGAGATTGAGCACGCATGTGTTTGCAAAGGCATCTACACCCAAAGCCTGATATTGCAGATTTTGGGAGAAGAACCGGCTGCCTTTGCAGTTTTCCTGTGAAACAAAGATCGGCCGCCAGAATGCACCACCTCAAAATGATGCTCGCAAACACTTCTTGGTTGAGAGACCATTTGTTGTGTTTAACTGGATGCTGACTTAGGAACTCCGCCAGGGAATTCTACGCTCCTTTCAGATGGATGGCAGATATCGAATGAAAGTTTTGCTTGACCAAAGACAGAACGCTGTCCACGATTGCTGATGCATGTTTGTTGATGTATGCTACCATAGCCATATTGTCTGAACGGATCTGCAGGTGACGGTCTACTAGATCTGCTTGAAAAGCACCCGACACTCACTGGACAGCTAGAAGCGCTTTGATTTGAGGATCTTCGATTGATATTCTTTAAAAAAAAAAAAAAAAAAAAAAAAAAAAAAAAAAAAAAAAGGTACAAACACTTTGGGATGGAATCTAATTGAGAGGGCACAGGTTTAGGATACATCAAAAACTTGCCCGATGGAATAACATCCCCTCCTCGTTCTGGAGACCTCGAGTAAGGACCCGTTGATCTACCAGGTCTCCAATTAGGCCACACAGAGCCTGTGCCTTCTCCCAATCCTTGGGAAGATTGGTTACCAGATACCCGGCAGGGGGACTGAAGACAAACGCCAACCTGTACCCTTTTCCTATCAAGTCCAGAATGTACAGGTTCCAGGAGATTGAAGCCCACAGAGGGAGAAAGGTCCCCAGTCTTCCTCCCACTGGGACGCTCAAGTCACTTGGCAGGGCCCTGAGAAGGATAGAATAAGATTCTCCTCCTCCCCCCCCCCCCCCCCCCCCCCCCCCCCCCCCCCCCCCCCCTTTCCAGTGTTTCTTGGGCTGAACCCGAGTCTTGACAAAACAAAAAAAAAAAAAAAAAAAAAAAAAAAAACACCCTCCTGGAGTAAGATTTCTTACTCTGGAAATGCCCTCTTTATCGGCCGTATATGCCAGAGCCTCCTTGAGGCATGGACCAAAAAAAGGTTCTCTCCTGTAAAACGCGCAAGGTACCAAAAGGCACAGCTTGGATGCCAAGTCCCCTGCCCAGGTCTTTAACCATAAATGCCCTCTTCTGAATTCAGGGCAGAAGTTCTCACGGCTAGCTTAACTGATTCGACCAAGGCATCCACGAGGAAACCTACCGCTTTATACAGCAAAGGATTTTAGAGTTTGCTGCCTGGAAGTCCCTGCTGAGAGAAGAGTAACTGGGTAAGCCAGCATTCCAAAATTTCTGGTGACACAGGCAGCCGGTTTAAAGCGAATAGAGGTGGAATCCAAGGCCCTCTGGATTAAGATTTCTCCTCTTATCCAAGAGATCTTTTAGGGCCCCTTATCTTCAAATGCCAAGTCTGTCTTTTTAGAGACTTTAGATAAAGGGGGTGTGTCTAACTTTGGACCTTTGTTCCATGGCTGGGATCAGTCTTCCTCAAGAAAAAAAAAAAAAAAAAAAAAAAAAAAAAAATTTAAGATTACCAGAAACCCCCCCCCCCCCTTCCAGAGGAAACAACCTGAAGGGGGCCTGGGAGGTCCGCCTTTTAAGGCTCATGCATTTCCTGTCCCGAGGGAAGAGCTCTACACCTCAAGGTGCTGTCCCGGAATAAGTTTTAGAAAAGGAACTCAAATAACCACTGATTACAACCAAGGTATGCAGAAGACCATCTCTGAACCTTGAAGCAGATGGGCTACAGCAACAGAAGACCACACCAGGTGCCATGCCTCTCAGCCAAGAACAGGAATGAAGGCTACAACACACATAGGCTCACCAAAATTGGACAATAAAAGATTGGAAAAACATTTGCCTGGTCTTGATTTCAGCTACAACATTCAGATGGTAGGGTCAGAATTTGGAGTAAACATGGATCCATCCTGCCTTATATCAATGGTTCAGGCTGGTGGTGTAATGGTGTGGGGGATATTTTCTTGGCACACTTTAGGCCAATTAGTACCAACAGAGCATCGTTTAAATGCCACAGCCTACCTGAGTATTGTTGCTGACCATGTCCATCCCTTTGACTACAATGTACCCATCTTCTGATGGCTAAATTCCAGCAGGGTAATGCACCATGTCACAAAGCTCAGATCTTAAACAGGACAATGAGTTCACTGTACTCCAATGGCTTCCACAGTCACCAGAGCTCAATCCAATAGAGCACGTTTGCGATGTGGTGGAAAGGAAGATTTGCATCATGGATGTGCAGCTGACAAATCTGTGTGATGCCATTATGTCAATATGGACCAAAATCTGAAGAATGTTTCAAACACCTTGGTGAATCTATGCCACGACGAATTAAGGCAGTTTTGAAGGCAAAAGGGGTCCAAAATGCTACCAGCAAGATGGACCAAATAAAGTGGCCGATGAGTGTATGACATGGGAAAAGCGTGGGTGCCAGCTATAATCCGGCTATCTGGTTAAACAGTAGAGAGTTCTGGGAAGTGTAGAGTTGACACCTGCAAACTGGCCAACAATGCTAAGGGTACACTAATACCAGGTGAAGTAGGACTGTTGTGTGGCCATTCATTTACACGCAGTCCCACCACAAGACAAGGGGAAGAAGAGAGGGAAAAAAATAAAAAAAAAAAAATATAAAAAAAAAAAATATAGGGGGAAGAAGGGGTGGGGGAAGAGAAGAGGATCTTGTGTATGGACGGGGACACACACACACACACACACACACACACACACACACACACACACACACACACACACACACACACACACACACACACACACACACACCACACACGTCTGGTGCAAGATGTGGAAATGTGTGCTCAGAGCTCCTGAACATTGCCACCATCCTTAGAGAGTCTTCCTCTTTCATAACCTCTGGAACAGACTTGCGCAATGAATTGAATTTCCCCTCTCAGCACATGCACAGAGCCAAACAGCAGCTGTACAGTGCCTTGAAAGTATTCATACCCCTTGAAATTCTATAGTCATGTTACAACCAAAAATGTATTTATGTGATTGACCAAAGTGATACACAAATTGGAACGAAAAGATTTAAAATAAAAATTTATATTTTTTACAAATAAATCTAAAAAGTGTGGTGTGCATTTGTATTCAGCCCCCTTTACTCTGATACCCCCAACTAAAATCTAGTGGAACTAGTTGCCTTCAGAAGGCACCTAATTAGTAAATAGAGTCCACCTAAGTGTAAATTTAATTACAGTATAAATACAGCTATTCTGTGAAGCCCTCAGATGTTTGTTAGACAAAACAGTGAACAAACATCATGAAGGCCAAGGAACATAGACAGGTCAGAGATAAAGTTGTGGAGAAGTTTAAAGAAGGGTTAGATTATCCCACAGAACACGGTTCAATCCATAATCCAAAAACGGAAAGATTATGACAACTGCAAACCTACCAAGACATGGCCGTACATCTAAAAACACACAGGCTGGGCAAGGAGAGCATTAATCAGAGAAGCAGCCAATGGAAACTCTGGAGGAGCTACAGAGATCCACAGCTCAGGTGGGAGAATCACACATCACCCTGAACACACCATCCCCACCGTGAAACATGGTGGTGGCGGCATCATATTGTGGGGAAGCCTTTTTTTCAATCAGGGACAGGGAAGATGGATGAAGCCAAATACAGGGCAGTCTTAGAAGACAAAATGGGAAAGAACAAAGAGGGGCGCACAGGCCTAGTGCATTACCATAAAAAGTGTTTATTTTTTATTAAAGTAGGTGTTGTACTCACAAACAATATAGTCAAGGCATATCATAAAAGAACAGCTGGATCAACACCGCGCTGAGTAGCAGTCCGCAATAGGGAGTTTGACATCCAAAAGGCTGACGCGTTTCGAGGACTTGCCTCTTCAGAGCCTCTAAACTCCCTATTGCGGACTGTTACTCAGCGCGGTGTTGACCCAGCTGTTCTTATACGATGTGCCTTGACTATATTGTCGTTTGTGAGTACAACACCTACTTTAATTTTTTATGGTAATGCCCTAGGCCTGTGCACCCTCTCTTTGTTCTTTCCCCATTCAGTATCTTTGGATTCCCCTGGTCCATTTGAGGGCAGCAAGGTGTGCATGTTCCAGGACATTCTTAATGTGGTTGTAGCCTGCATCGAGTCCATCCCCAAGCGCAGGAGCATTTGTGTTTGCTGGTTCTTTAGTCTTAGAAGACAACCTGTTAGAGTCTGCAAAAAACATGAGCGAAGGTTCACCCTTCAGCAGGACAATGACCCTAAAACATACAGCCAGAGCTACAATGGAATGGATTAGATCAAAGCATATTCATGTGTTAGAATGGTCCAGTCAAAGTCCAGACCTAAATCCAATTGAGAACCTGTGGCAAGACTGGAAAAATTGTTGTTCATATGCGCTCCATCCAATCTGACTTGAGCTATTTTTTTTTTTAAAATAAGAATGGGCAAAAATTTTGGTAGAGAAATCCCCAAAAAGACTTGCAGCTGTAATTACAGCAAAAGGTGGTTCTACACAGTATTGACTCGGGGGGGGGGGGGGGGGGGAAATACAAATGCCACCACACTTTTCAGATATTTGCAAAACATTTTGAAAACCATTTACCATTTTCCTTCCACTTCACAAAGATGTGCCACTTTTTGTTGGTCCATTGTATAAGACACATTTATGTTTTTGGTTGTAACATGAAAAAATTTCAAGGGGTATGAATACTTTCAAGGCACTGTACATACACTGTGCAGCAGGCCGGTGATCATCTAAGGGGGAGCACTGCTTAGATCACCACACTGGAAAGAAGGAAGATACACTCACGCTGATCAGGTCATCTCGCGCTTTCAACACCTTCAATCGGGCTTGGTTCATCAAATTGGACATCTGACTGAAAGACAGATGGAAAAAATAAATTTTTCTTCTTGCACAAAAAGAAAAAGAGAACACAAATACAGCAAACTGCAGTATGAAGTCAGGCTCAGAGTGATCTCTTGGCGACTATATTGGACTCACATTTTCTTCTGCTGCTCAATCTGCTTTTCCTTCTTCTCATAATACTCCATGATCTTTAACCGCTGCGTTTGCACCAGACGACCCTTTTCGATGTTAAATTCCTCCTCTGCCTGAGAAGAGTCACATTTTACAGTTGCAGAACTGAAAATTACATGTTTTTAATTGAGTAAACCAGGGTTACACAAAAACACCACAATAGATTAACTCTTCCACCATCTAACACTCCTCTTCTGAAATAATCTGCACTTTGCTCTATACAACTCGTCTCTCTCCTGAATCTGCACTGCTGGAGGACTCTTCTCCTTCCTCTATCTAAAAACCTCCTCTCCTGAAATACTCTGCACTGCTGGATTGACTTTGAATCCTCCAGGTTAATACAGAAAGGCCCTTGATACGCACAGTACATGTTACAGGTGGCGGTGTCTCTGCTCCTCCTCAGACACTCACCTTGGCATCGATCTCTTCTGCCTTTTCATTGGCCTCCTGCTCGATGAAAGCCATCATGTGCTTGATCTGGAACATAGAACATAGGATGTCAGTAAGGGGGATGCTGGAGACCGAACTGACACGGCATGGCTTACATACATTGGAGGATTCTCATCAGATTGGGAACATTGTTTTCAATTAATTTTACAGGCAACTAGTTTCGTTATATTTCTGGGTAAGAAATAGGTCTGTCAATGCAAGGATTTTATTTTACAGAAATTAATGTTTGATTTAGGAAGGGGGGGGGGGGGGTTTCTCAGCTGGTCAGAAGGAGGTGAGATTTGTGGCACTGTAGGGAGGAATGTAACACTTCACCAGCCTCATTTCCTCTGTGTTAACACTAATGGTGGTGTTGAGTACAATGGATTAATCATTCAGACACTCAAATCAGGTTGTACAGCCGATAAGATTCAGATCTTTACTCTGCATTCACACTTGAGGGATTTGTAGCTCAAAAAACACTAAAAAAAAAAAAAAAAAAAAAAAAAAACCCACACACAACTGTTCTCTATGATACCGGATTATGCAACCAGGTGTGAACAGGACAGGAGACCTGAAGATAACTTGAATATTCACCTATATGTACCTTTATCACGTTCACACCAGCCACACACTAAGGCTGGCCATACACTATACAATTTGCTGTCCAATTTTCTTTAGATTTACCTTCAAGTATGTAGTGCAAGGACCTGCCCAATTGGATACCACTGAAAGTGTTGTTCAGGTTTGACCTCATATTACATGGTTTTTGGTAAATCTAAAGAAAATTGTATAGTGTATGGCCAGCCTAAGGCTGGCCATACATTACAGTTTTCTTTAGATTTACCTGTAACTATGTAGTAAAAGGACCTGCCTGCTTGGATACAATTAAGTGTTTAGGTTTGTCCTCAACGTGCTTTTTGGTATATATTACACCCTCCCATTTTGGACAGAGCAAGGGAGGATTGTAACCCGTCAGATATTTTTTTTTTCTCTCACACCATCTGTGTCCCATTGCAGAGATTTCCCTTCACTTCCTGCTCCATAGCCAAACAGGAAGTGGGAGGAAATCCCTGCAAATTTAATGGAATTCCTTGGGGACCCCCATTTCAGCACAACTATCGTCCCCATTGGATGATTTCCCTTCATTACTTTCCCGGGGGCAATCGAGAAATTAGGGATTTTCCTTTCAATGATAAATGGTAAACAGGACAAAGAGGGTGAATCTTCTTAATGGGAGTACAGACAGCAATAAAAAACCTGACAGGCATTCTAATCCCTCTCCACTCCATCCAACACTTAAGGTTTGCCTTTAGTTACTTTAAGGCTTTCTTTGGCCTTGCAGTTGGGGGGCAGCAAAATGCACAGTTGAGCTGCACTTTTGCCACCAGCCAACCACTCCCCCTTAGGCTGCAATAGGGAGCAGATGGGGATGTTTACATGCCGCGGGTGGGATTCTTCATGTCCTTCACCTGACATGTAGCAGGCCGCAAGCCCATTGAGTGCTACATATTCAAATAAATGTGACAGTGTCAGACGCCCTGCAACCAAGTGCAATGTACACAGCTGTAGCAGGATTGCTGGCTGAAAGGGTTTTAAACAGGCAGTGAGGGTGTCACCCCATCAGTAGCCTCTGAAGCGAGATTCAAAAATGCAGACTGGGCTTCAGAGGCAAGGGAGATCTGGATGCAAGTCTAAATCTACCCTGAGGGATTTTTTTATTTTTATTTATTTGAACGTGTACATTCAGGCCTTTGAACAGAGATGTGGTGCCCTGCGTCACAGTGACATTCAGCGCATTGTGGAAAGAAAGCCTGAAGTCTGCATTTCCCCACACATCACACTAGTGTTACTATATGAATGAATTATATTGTACACAGTATGTGCCCTACCGGAGATCTGCATGGATCCATTGGCCCTTCCAAACTCACTAGGGTCAGATCACCCAATAGCTTTTTTTTTGGGGGGGGGGGGGGGGGGGGTGGAAGACTCAGGAGGAGAACATTGAAGTGATGATAGTAAAGGTGGAACGCACAGCAAGTGTGTGCTCAGCAGAAGGCTCATTGTAAGACAACGCTGGTGGATTGTCCAGTGACACCACCTCCTTGTAGTCACTCATAACACAGCGCTGAACAGATATTTAGGAAACAGAAGACATTTGAGGTCACAGTGACTGCTCAGGTCACTCACATGACATGCAGGGCCTCACAATTTCCAGTCTGTGCCACACAGGCGATCCTCGACAACAGATGCATCATGACCACCAAGAGACAGATTACCTTCCCCCATGGCACCATCACCTCAATGGCTGAAGCAGAAGAATATTGTTCTGGCACTGCTCGCCCAGATACATTTCAGCAGATTCAGATAGTCGGCGCATCTGTTGTACATCTCTACCCTTGTTTTAGGGATTGTAAAAATATCATTCTTCCCTAATCTGGGTAATGGTTTTGCACAGGGCAGCCCCAAGCCTCTTCTTTGATCACCTGCTGGTGCTCCTGGCATCCCCCCCTCTCCCTCAAAGTGCCCCAATAGCAAGCTGCTGCTATGCAGTCACTGGTGTCTGCTCAAGGTGAGTCTATAAGACACACAATCTGGGGCTCAGCTTCACCCACACTCTCCTCACTGGCTCTGGTCGACAGCAATGGCTCCTGCATCTGAGCCAATGAGGAGCCAGAGAACCTCTGCTCACGTGCAGATCATTGGATCGAGATCAGGCTCCAGTAAGTATTGGGGGGGGGGGGGGGGGGGGGGGTAGTTGCATGCAGAAGATTTTTACCTTACTTCATAGACTGCATTAAGGCAACAAAACCAAAACACACTTCTGCCTTTACATCCACTTTAAACGTCTTTAGTCAATGGAAAGAGTTACTAGGAGGAGAGGCAAGAAATCAGTCATTTATTAATTTTTCAGACATGGCGCTCGTGTGAACAGACACCATTGAAAGTAATAGGAATCTTGAGTTTGAGTGTTGGTGAAGCACTTCAGGAAAGACAATTCTAAGTGCTCAGGTGTGAATGGGGTCACTCAGTAGGTCCTGCAGGATTTCATTCAATGAGGGAGTGACAAAAAAAAAAAAAAATAAATAAATGGCAGTTTCCTGGTGATCCTGTCCATGATCACTAGGTGATGAGGGCCTGGAACTGTCACCTACATTACTGTATTGGCATCTGCACTGCTTCATGGAGTCAACGCTCTGCAGCCTGCAATTATGGAGGACAACATCCGGACAAGTTTCTTAGTGTATGTCCAGGCAACCTTTACAATTTTGAATAGAGGGGAAATTAGACCCCGATCACTTACTTCTCTCTGGGGCTCCATTTCAGAGATTTCCACTCACTTCTTGTCCTGGGATTTCAGCTAAACTCTGATGGCAAATTACAACAGGGAAGGAACTCTATAGATTATTAACTATACACCCTTCTGAAATTATATGGGGGGGGGGGGGGGGGGGTCATATCTTGTGTTCAGTATTCCAAGTTCCATCCCATTGCTGCAGATATTACACAGCTCTAACATTGGGTCACATTACATGATAGATGTTCATAAATACACCAAATCCTGGGGAGCCCATCTGCAAGTGATAAAAACCTATGATAGCGCTGTGGGAGGAGCCAGGAAATCGCAGGGTGCTAGAAGCCTACATCACTGTCATACATGGAGGGCCGGTCTGCACACCCCAGCTCCCCATCACAGCGCTGTGTTTACAGGAGGGACAGACCCTGTTATGACCTAAACAACGAGTTGGCCTCGTCCTACAAGAGATTCCTGCTCCAGCCAGATGCTGTCTAACCTCAGGCTCACGGTGGATCCAGCCAGGAGCAGAGAGAGCTGACACTGCTGTTTACAGTCAACAAGAACTGCTCACCTGGAATGCCAGCATTCAGCCCAGTGCTGGCTTAGCAACCTACCGACCCCAATCTATCGGGGAGTCGAGGACCCACACACACACGGCTGCCCTGTCCATGTTCCAATGTCATGTAACATGAACCTGTCATAGGAGAGTGAAGGATCCTGCCATTGCTGACTACCTTGCAGAAGATTCCATCCCCGGCTGTCATGCCAATTGAGTCACAGATCTGGAAGTAACCACAGAAGGAATTTGGTCTTCTCTAACTGTAGTGTACAGCATACTTGCTGGGTCCAGAGACTCAAGTACTGAAGACCGATACAGCCAGGCAAGAAGCATTTTGTAAGAGGCCAGCAATGGCAACCTTCACTACTATAGGACTCCACTAAGGCTGCCGTGTGCCCACCCACTACGTATATACTGATCATGTGATATCACCAGCCATGTGTAGAAGAGTCAGCATGCTGGGAGTTGTAGTCCTTCAGCAGACAGAGGCAGCCCAGTGCTGGGATGACAAAAATACCTCCAGGAGGAGGAGGGGGGGGGTTACCAAGAATAATGACATACTGTATGAACACAATGAGGAACCTCAGTCCAGCATCATGTGACCTCACACTGATCACATGACACTGACTAACTGAGCACCGCACTGTCATGGGAGGCAGGGGAGTACATTGAATACTACCCCTCATCCAAATTGGGGGGACCCCCATCCAAATTGGGGGGACCCCCATCCAAATTGGGGGGACCCCCATCCACCTCACACCCCATTCCAGGGGAGGGCCCCCATCCACCCCCCTTCTCAGAGGAGATCCCCTCCACTACAAAAGCATGCATCCACCCTGCCCCTCCCCACCCCCCCCCTGCACCCCAGGGAGACTCCATGTACATCACCCCCTCCAAGGAAATACCTCACCCCATCCCCTACAATAGGAGCACATAGTCGCCATTTTTAATCAATCTGACAACAGGACGGCTCAGAAAGAAGTAGATTGAGAGTCGTCCGTCCGTCCGCCCGTCCATCCGTCCGTCCCCTCCATCCAGTCCGCACCATAGAGATCTCCCTCCCCACCACCTCGCCTGACCCACGGAGCACAGCGCCGCCGCCGCCGCCATCATCACCACCACCCCTCCCCGGGCCCCGCACTCTCACCTGTTTCTGAACGTCGGCATCGCTGAGCGCCATGTTTGACAGATGGAGGAGCGGAGATGTACAATGACACCGAGAGCCTGGCACTCGTCTTATACGGAGATCAGCTGACTTAAGACACGCCCACTTCCGGGTCAGCTGACTATCACCGGAGAAAGGAGGAGCGCCTCGATCAGAGATTCTCCCGCCTACCTGTCAGCCTGACCCCGCCCACACACTGGATCTCCTCTGCCTGGATCAGCAAGGTCACTATTGACACCTCCTCCCACCTCTGTATACCAACACCTCCCTGCATACACCTCCTCCCACCTCTGTATACCAACACCTCCCTGCATACACCTCCTCCCACCTCTGTATACCAACACCTCCCTGCATACCCTCCTCCCACCTCTGTATACCAACACCTCCCTGTATACACCCCCAACCACCTCTGTATACCAACACCTCCCTGTATACCCCTCCTCCCACCTCTGTATACCAACACCTCCCTGCATACACCTCCTCCCACCTCTGTATACCAACACCTCCCTGCATACCCCTCCTCCCACCTCTGTATACCAACACCTCCCTGCATACACCTCCTCCCACCTCTGTATACCAACACCTCCCTGTATACACCTCCTCCCACCTCTGTATACCAACACCTCCCTGTATACACCTCCTCCCACCTCTGTATACCAACACCTCCCTGTATACCCCTCCTCCCACCATCTGTATACCAACACCTCCCTGTATACACCCCCCAACTACCTCTGTATACCAACACCTCCCTGTATACACCTCCTCCCACCTCTGTATACCAACACCTCCCTGTATACCCCTCCTCCCACCTCTGTATACCAACACCTCCCTGTATACACCTCCTCCCACCTCTGTATACCAACACCTCCCTGTATACACCTCCTCCCACCTCTGTCTACCAACACCTCCCTGTATACACCTCCTCCCACCTCTGTATACCAACACCTCCCTGTATACACCCTTCCCACCTCTGTATACCAACACCTCCCTGTATACACCCCCAACTACCTCTGTATACCAACACCTCCCTGTATACACCTCTTCCCACCTCTGTATACCAACACCTCCCTGTATACACCTCCTCCTACCTCTGTATACCAACACCTCCCTGTATACACTTCCTACTACCTCTGTATACCAACACCTCCCTGTATACACCTCTCCCACCTCTGTATACCAACACCTCCCTGTATACACCTCCTCCTACCTCTGTATACCAACACCTCCCTGTATACACCCTAACTACCTCTGTATTCCGCCACCTCCCTGTATACCCCTCCTCCTACCTCTGTATACCAACACCTCCCTATATACACCCCTAACTACCTGTGTATACCAACACCTACCTGTACACACCTCCTCTTACCTCTGTATACCAACACCTCCCTGTATACACCTCCTCTTACCTCTGTATACCAACACCTCCCTGTATACACCCCAGCTACCTCTGTATACCAATACCTCCCTGTATACACCCCCAACTACCTCTGTATACCAACACCTCCCTGTATACACCCCAACTACCTCTGTATACCAACACCTCCCTGTGTACACTCCCAACTACCTCTGTATACCAACACTTCCCTGTATACACCACAACAAACTCTGTATACCAACACCTCCCTGTATACACCCCCTCCTACTGTATTCTAACACCTCCCTGTATACACCTCCTCATATACCAACACCTCCCTGTATACACCCCCAACTACCTCTGTATACCAACACCTCCCTGTGTATATCCCCTCCTATCTCTGTATACAACACTTCTCTGTATATACACCCCCCTCCTAACTGTAAACCAGCATATCCTTGTATATACCCCTCTTATCCCTGTATATCAACACCTCCTTGTATATATTCCCTCCTACCTCTGTATACCAACGCCTCCCTGTATATACCTCCCTTCCTACCACTGGCACCTCCCCCTACCTCTGTATACCATCCATCCACTTACTTCTATACACCCTCATCTACCTCTGTATACCCCCCTCATGCCTACCGCTGTATAAAGGAAACCTGTGCTGAAGATGTACAAATTAAATATCTGTATACTTTTTAATATAGATATAGGTTTTCTTTTCCCTTTATACTCCCATATATATTTATACACCAATCTCCCACACACTACACCTGGCTAAGTGGTACACCAGGCTCGTCAGTTTCCAATCCCAACCACAGCACTACCTGCCTGGAGTTTACATGTTCTCCCAGTGCCTGCGTGGGTTTCCTCCAGGTACTCCGGTTTCCTCCCACACTCCAAAGACATGCTGGTAGTTTCATTGGCTCCTGTCTAAATTGGCCCTAGTATGTGAGGACATTAGACTGTAAGCTCCTCGAGGGCAGGGACTGATGTGAATGTACAATATATGGGAAGTGCTGTGTAAACTGACAGTACTATATAAGTACTTGTAATGAATAAAATGTAGATCCTCTGTACTCAGCTCTCTTCATTTACATATAATGTATACGCTCACACCCCATATCTATCTATATACCTCCTTGTACGCCCACCATCTGATCCATACCTCCACATACTGTATACATCCGTGCACAATGCCAGCAGGTCACCACTATGTCATTTTCTATAATCATCCTATTTCTCTCTGTGTACGTGTCACCTCTGTGTACAGCACTTCAGTTGTATAGAATACAGGGGCTTCCCTGTTAATGCATTCCGGGAAATTCCTGTAGAATTCAATTTTCACATTAAAGTGTGCATATAAACATTTTTTCACCATGTCTCACAGTATATAGTTTTCATCAGCAAATCATATTTTGTGACTGTGATCTCACACCTGGAGATCCTGCAAGTGACAGCACTTCCTGTTGCAGGCTGACAACATACTGATTCACAATTAGAAGCAGCGTTGTCAGCCTGCTCCCTCTGTTGGCCATAGGGTGGAATATCACAGGGAGATTTTCTGTATAATGATGGATATTCTCTATACCAGTGGTCTCCAAACTGCAGCCCAGGGGCCAGATGCGGCTCTTTGCTTGCTTTTATTCGACCCTTGGGGCACTATTTCATCCACTGATACCAACAATGGGGCATAATTTTCCCCACTGACACCAATGAAGGGGCACAATTCCTGCCAATGACACCAACGATGGGACACAATTCCTTCCACTGACAACAACATGACACAATTTCTCTCAGTGACACTAACAATGGGACCCAGTGACACCAATGATGAGGCACAATCCCTTCCAATGACACCAAATATGGGGTATTGTTTTTTCCAACTGATGTCAGGACCTTTTCTACTCCCAATGCCACAGTCCGGCCCCCCCTAAAGTCCAAAGGACAGTAAACTGGCCTTTTGTTTAGTAAGTTTGGCGACCCCTGCTCTATACGCAGGGATATCTTCTATATAATGATATATATTCTCTATACACAGGGAGATCTTCTATATAATGATATATATTCTCTATACACAGGGAGATTACTCTGTATAATGATATATATTCTCTATACACAGGGAGATCTTCTATATAATGATATATTATTCTCTATACACAGGGAGATACTCTGTATAATGATATATATTCTCTATACACAGGGAGATCTCTGTATAATGATATATATTCTCTATACACAGGGAGATCCTCTATATAATGATATATATTCTCTATACACAGGGAGATCCTCTATATAATTTTTTTTTCTATATATTCTCTATACACAGGGAGATCCTCTATATAATGATATATATTCTCTATACACAGGGAGATCCTCTATATAATGATATATATTCTCTATACACAGGGAGATCCTCTATATAATTATATATTTTCTATACACAGGGAAATCCTCTATATATTATATATTTTTTCTATACACAGGGAGATCCTTGTCTAATGATGGATATTCTCTATAACAGGGAGATTTCTCTATAATTTATTATTTTCTATACACAGGGAGATCCTCTATATAATGATATATATATTCTCTATACACAGGGAGATCCTCTATATAATTGATATTATTTTCTATACACAGGGAGATCCTCTGTCTAATTTTTTTTTATTCTCTATACACAGGGAGATCTTCTCTATAATGATATATTTTTTTCTATACACAGGGAGATCCTCTAAATAATGATATACAGTCAGGTCCATAAATATTGGGACATCGACACAATTCTAACATTTTTTTGCTCTATACACCACCACAATGGATTTGAAATGAAACAAACAAGATGTGCTTTAACTGCAGACTGTCAGCTTTAATTTTTTATTTACATCCAAATCAGGTGAACGGTGTAAGAATTACAACAATTTGCATATTGCCTCCCACTTGTTAAGGGACCAAAAGTAATGGGACAGAATAATAATCATAAATCAAACTTTCACTTTTTAATACTTGGTTACAAATCCTTTTTTTTTCAATTACAGCCTGAAGTCTGGAACGCATAGACATCACCAGACGCTGGATTTCATCCCTGGTGATGCTCTGCCAGGCCTCTACTGCAACTGTCTTCAGTTCCTGCTTGTTCTTGGGGCATTTTCCCTTCAGTTTTGTCTTCAGCAAGTGAAATGCATGCTCAATCGGATTCCGGTCAGGTGATTGACTTGGCCATTGCATAACATTCCACTTCTTTCCCTTAAAAAACTCTTTGGTTGCTTTTGCAGTATGCTTTGGGTCATTGTCCATCTGCACTGTGAAGTGGCGTCCAATGAATTCTGAAGCATTTGGCTAAATATGAGCAGATAATTTTTTGCCCGAAACACTTCAGAATTCATCCTGCTGCTTTTGTCAGCAGTCACATCATCAATAAATACAAGAGAACCAGTTCCATTGGCAGCCATACATGCCCACGCCATGACACTACCACCACCATGCTTCACTGATGAGGTGGTATGCTTAGGATCATGAGCAGTTCCTTTCCTTCTCCATACTCTTCTCTTCCCATCACTCTGGTACAAGTTGATCTTGATCTCATCTGTCCATAGGATGTTGTTCCAGAACTGTGAAGGCTTTTTTTTTTTTTAGATGTTGTTTGGCAAACTCT